TTTCTTAATGTATATATTAATACTTATATAATATATATCAATACTTATAATATATAATGTATAAATCCAAATTGTGTTTCACGAACATAAGTTATTCTATTTATAGAGATGCGGAAGTCTTCCTTTACACGAAAGGACAAATGTTTCACCTATATCCAAGAAAACTCCACCAACTTCTTCACCTTGTGAAACAGTTTTAGAAACAGAAAAATTTGAATGTGATGCTGAAAAATTAAGAAGTAGCGAACGTTTCAGTCGAAGTATTACCCCAAGAGGACGAAGGCAACCTCGAAGAAGAAGAGTGCATAAGATTGCAGACACAGAAAATTCTAGTAAGGTAAAATTTGCAATTTATTTTGAATTGTATGAAAAAAAAAACATACACATATCTTCATTATAAATTAAAAACTGAAATACTTTTATTAGGAAAACGAAGAAGAAGCTGATAATATTTATAACTTATCATCAAATTCTAATAGTTGTAATGGATCTCCAGCACAAAGTTTTTTGGAAATGTTGAGCAGCGGACCGAGTCGATCACCATCTCCTGCTCGTCCGCCAACAGTTAGTCATGAAGATTTAAATAATCCCAGTTTAACAAACTGGACTTTTCAACGACAAGAAAATGTAAACAACAGTAGAGTATTAGTCTTTATTATTATTTATTTTTAATAATAATATTACGTATTAATCACATATTTATAGGATGAAGCTGTTGATGCTAGAGTAGAAGCTATGCTTTCTCCACGAAATTCGTTATTACTACCTAGACGTTTTTATTCTGAAAATGAAATGCAACCTAGTGCTCCAAATATTGCAGAACTTGGATTAAAAAACTTGACTAAATATATAAATGGTTTGAAAAAAAAAATAAAGAAATATGAAGACGAATTTGAAGAAAATTTTGGTTATCGTCCAAGTCATTCTGATAAAATGAGTAACAGAGATATAAAACGATTATGTACAGAATTAAGTAAATTGCGAAAAGAGCATAAGTTATTAAAAGAAGATCCGATTAGTGCATTATTAGCTAATGAAAATAACAAAACAAAAATAGCTAATGATAGTCCAACAAACAACAATAATAGTCAAGAAAAGTCTAGAGCAATGTCAATGGAAGAAATGATAAAAGAAATAGAAAAAAAACTAAATGAAAAGAGAATAAAGTATAACAGACCCGAAAATATGGAAGAATTAACTTATGAACAATTAATAGATGAAAAAACTGCTGTTCAAAAAGCTTTGCTTCATATTGAAAATACTTTTGGAAGACCAGTTTCTAAAGAAGATAGAGCTATTGTACGACCTTTATATGATAAATATAGAACTTTAAAAAGATTACTTATTAGAGCAGGCGTGGTAAGTGATATTGTAATATTTTGAATTTTATAAACTTAATAATAATAATAATTGTATAGATGTATAAATTATTTTTAAATATATCTCTTACAGAACAAAAATAAAGATAGTATTTCAGAACTAGCTACTATTTTGGAACATGAAGCAATGGATTTTACATCATCTAATTTACCTAATAATTCATCTGATACAGAAAGAAGAGCTAGCGAACCTGATATGTCACATAGAGGTATTTTGGATTGTATAGATTCGATAGATCAATTACCAACTGATAGTGATAGTCAGCACAGCAGTAGCGAAGGAAGTCGTAGTAACAATGAAAGTCTTCATGCATTACCACAGTGAGTTTCTAATTTATATAATATAATTTATTAAAATCAATTTCTTAAAGATAATCAAATTAACCAATTATACTATTATACAATTTTATCTGTCTTAGAGAAGAATTATTAGTTCAACAAAAATTAACTAGAGAAGAGAAAAAACGTTTACGACGAGCTTTAAAAGAATTAGAAGCACAATTTGAAGCTCGTACTGGTCGTAGAATGCAAAGAGAAGATCGTGGCCCGCAAGTTACAACCGTTTACGAATCGTATAAACAAGCAAAAGCAAAACTTCGACTAATTGATGCTCTTATAGCTAAAAATGCTTGATGCAATATCTAATGGATGCCTTGAAATTTACATCCAAAGAAGTTTGACATCCAAAATATATGTGCAGTGATTATTATACAATTGAAACCTAATATGACATACAGTTATAAATATGATGCTATTGTATAATAGAGATGTTAAGAAAAAACATTTAAGAAAAACTAAGATTATTAAAGCAAGGCAGATGATTTAAACTTAATAGAAATCAAAATATTTTATAAAAAGAATGGAAATTTGTCTTTGATTATAATACTTTGATTTTATATGTATGATTCTAATTAGTCAACTGTTTTAAAGAACATTAAACTTGTATAGAATATATTCTAAGCTACAAAAAAATGTACGATTAATATAAATACTAATTGCAACTGAATTTATTTCATTGATAAATTAATTTCTTTGTAACTTTGATAAAAATAATTACTACGTGTAATATGATATTTGTAACGAAATGTTTTGAATAACAAAAAATTTCGTTATTATAATTATATATATTATTTTAATAAGACTCTTCTTATATTGGTAACTTATTGAGTACATATTATGAAGTGATATCATATGATAATAAATAATAAGATTAGTATCAAGTTAGTAATTTGAAATTTAAACATTAATAGTTAGACAAAAACAGTGGCGTTATAAACAATCTGTCGATTTGCACTCGCAATTTCCTTCAAATACTCGTAAAATTCATTAAAATAAGGAAATGCTTACTGCTTATGGTTATTGTAAACTCTGCCTATTATACAAATAAGAACATCACATAACAAGATATTAAAAAAAAAAAAAAAAAAAAAAAAAAAAAAANAAAAAAATAGAAAAAAAAATAGAAAAAATAGAAAAAGAAAAGCCACTGACTTACTTTTAAAGTTTTGTACATATTTTTATCAATGTTATTTAAAGATTCGTCACTTTTTAATAGAAATTTAAAAAGTTTATATCTTTTTTTTAAATTATTTGCATATATAATATGTTATGATAAAATTATATTGTTTTTTTATATTTTTTTAAGATCATTTTTTTATGTTTCGTTAAATGGAATAAGAGAACAAGAAGACAAAAGAAATGAATTGTTATTTAAAAAGTTATTATATGTTTATATCTTGCTAAAAATCAATATATAAAATACAAAAGTAATATAAAAAAAATGTTAAAAATGGAAAATGATAAAGTATGAAAATAATCATTCATGATTGAATGAAATGTAACAAGCATATTCTATATTAATCTCCTTTCTTTAATCATTACATATTTGCCTCTTTTAATTTATTTTAATAATTACTGGTATTATTTATATTTTTAAATTGCTATTATTAAATTTATATCTCTTTATATTTCATAATATGGAATATTATTTTTTTTTTAAATTAATATATCAATTGGATAAATATAGGAAGAAAAGAAACAAATATGTAAATTATATATTATTTAAATTAAAATTAATGTTTATTTTATTGTTCAAAGATCTTTATCAAATTGAACGTTAAGAGTAAACAGATCTGTGGGGTTATTTGTAATGTAAGTACCTTGTAAGAAATATCACATGTTATAATTGTAGAGTACTATAAACTGTTACAGTCTTATAGCTGTATTAAACATATTTACTAAAACCTCGTTAATTTTTCCGTTTTATATTTGTATAAGTGAAATTTTAAGGCAATTATCTTGAAATAATGCAAAATATGATATGTAAACAGTAGCCTTAAAATTCAACTTGATAAGGCGTCTTAAATGAAGGTGCTATATTTTCAGTTTAAATCATATTAAATGAAAGAAATAATTTTGCAAATCAATCTCTATCAAATCTATGGAAGTGCGCCAAAGGGGTTCGCATTTTTTCTTACTATAATTTTACAAAAATAAGCTACAGAGCTTAATTGTACTAAATATGTATTAAAAATTTAAAAAAATAATAGTGTGTAGGAAATCTTATATATATATATATTTATTTATTTATATATATGTATGCGATTTAAAATTTTAATCTAAACTATAATATTGATTGTTGTTCAAATTTTTAAAACGATTATAAAAAAATTTCTAAAATATTATATTCGTAGTTTTAATTGGTTCCTTATAATATATTATAATTCATTCATAGTTTATCATGAAAAAATTGTGGCGGCCCCAATTCTTAGCGCTAATCCATTTCGCACACTAATATAAAAAAATTTATTTAAAATATTTTTAAATATTTAAATCTTATATTAATCCAAACAATGTTTGTTATAAATTTTATCCGCTGAATTAGTATATGCGGAATGTGAATGAAACCGAAAAAGATTTTTTAGACCAAAGCATTTTTAGTCTGTGATATATAATATGAGAGATATATTACTTATATTAATATGAGAGAATGTGTGTGAGAAGGATTTAAGTTTTTTTGTGGAAACGATTTCTTGACGTGAGGAAATGTTTTCGGCCGTCTCCTTCGTAGAAGGAAATTGAGATTGATGATCTGTTTAAAAGATCGTAAAATAAAAATAATAACTTGAATTTGAATGTTACATTTCTTTATAAAAAAAAAGAAAAAAGAAAAAAAGAAAGAAAAGGAAAAAGAAAAGAGAAAAAAGTTGGAGTAAAAAATTATGATGAAAAATTTGGCAATTTAATTTAATAAAATTTATAATTTTTTAATATTTTTTAATAATTAAAAAAGACAATTTTTTTGTATGATTTCCTTCTGAGCTTAATATTATATCCATTATAATATTAATATTATATTATATCTGTTATAATATTATTATTATTATTAAATTTATTAATATATTTGCAAAATATAAAACAAGTTATTTTATATTAACTATTAGATATATTATTTTGATCAATTTTTAGTCTTTTTATGATAAAAAAAAAAAACAATACTGCCTTAGAAATGATTAATATTCTATGAAATAAAATTTTTTAGATTATATATAGAAATGAAATTTATATCTTCATGAAATTTTTAAAATGAAACCCGATTTTGCATGATTTTTTTATGATATATAATTTTCTGTAGCTGTGTAGTTACTTGTGAGATTAATATTTTTGTTAGTAATTGATTAAAATTTCTTAATTATGAGAAATAAGTTATTGTTACGAATGTTGCATAGAAAAAAAGAAATAGTCTTGATGGTATATCTATTAAAAACATCATATTAAAAACAAAATTAAAAAACAGGTAAAGATTTATATACTAAAATAATTTTAATTATTCTGCAATATTTGAAAACATTTGAAAACTTATTATGTATATATGTGTAAACGATATAACTATATAAAGTAGATGCGTAAATAAATATATAAAACTATACAAATCTATTCATTATAACAAGTAGCACACAGAATTGAATAAAAGAAATATATGGTCTACTAAAAATATGATTTCTATTATACAGAATAACCCTAACAAAATTCTTAATATAATATAAATTATCATTATATTTTTTTAAATAATATAATGATAAATGACAAATCTTCTACTACACAACACAAATGTTTACTTAAGAAAAATTATTACAAATTTTATTTGTTTTATACTTTATATGTTATTATCATTTTTTGATCAAATTTTAGACCATCATTTAATATGATATTACATAAACAATCATTTCAATAAATATCATATAACAAATTTGTTAATAATTTCAGCTTATGTATTAAATGTGATTCACTAAAATACACTATTACCACGACATCAGTTTTAATTGTTTTTGAAATGTTTGAATTTGCCGTAAAAGTCCGGCTAAACGAAGTGAAGTAGGTTCCCTTGCAATAATACTATTTCCTCTTTTATGAAGAGATTTATGTTGAAAATTCGATCCATTAGATTTAGTTGATGTAAATGGAACAGTTGTATATAATTTATCTGAACCCAATGGAATTTCAGTTGATATACAAACATAGCTATTCTTTTTTTGTAACAATCTCATTTGATGTTTCAATGCCATTACCTAAGATCAACAAGTAAAGCAATTATAATAAATTTTCAACTCATGAATTATTAAAAATATTATAATTAGATTATAAAATATAATAATCTAAATATAATAAAATATCATAATTTAAGAATAATAATAAGTCATTTTACCTCTTTATATAAATTAACAACAGCATTTATTTCAGCTTCTTTAATACTTAATTCTTTCTCTAAATGTAATATTTCTTCTTCTAACTCTTTATCACTGTATTTTTTTGCTTTTGTTTGTAATCTTTCATATCTCCTATTTATTAAAAAATATTTAATTAATACATAGATTATATATATTTTATATATAATTTTATATTTTGCAGAAATTAATTTAAGTTACGTGTTCATTTCTTCAAATTGGTCATGAAGATTAATAAGAACTTCTTGTATTCCTTTTGAATCTTGAGAATGATTAACTATTGTCGTATTGGAATTGTGTTTATCACATATACTACCCTATAATTTGTTTTAAATTAATATTCTCAAACAATCTATTATTTTGCAAGACTTCACCTGATAAATTTTTGACTGTATCTCTGGATTTTCCATTTTAGAATTTACATTTTGATGAGAAGCAAATAATTTTAACATTTTATTATCTGTTGCATGTAATATCTGTGCTGTATTTAATGTATTTAATTGATTTTCTGACTTAGTATCCTGAAAATAGACATGACTTTTATATTTTGAGATAAAATATGAACTTTTTTAATAGTATTACTTTGAATTTTCTAATAAACGAACCTTTTTTTTATGAAGGTTTTCATATTTATTTATATCGCCATTAATTTTTTGTTGTATATTTTGATATTGTTCAAGACTTGATTTTATATTTACATTTAAATTTACATTACTTACTCCTTTCAAAAACATATTTTCATTTTCTAATAAGTGTTCACCTTTACCCATAAATAAATTTTCTTTTTGTATATGTGCATTCATTTGAGAATTCATTTGGGAATTCATATGAGATAGTTTACTCTGTTGATCATTTATTTGTTCTATAAGAATAGATGCAGGTTTCATACCTCTACTAATTTTACGAATAAGAAGAGGAGTAATTCCAGTCGTAGCAGTTTGTCTTGTTTTCATTATACTTAAAACCTTTTAAATAAAGAAAAGTTATAATAATAAATACAGCTCATTTTTATATTTAATAACATACTTGTTGTATATTTAAACCTAAATTATGACTTGGGGTTACAGAAGTACCCACTACAAAAGGTATATTTCGAAAATTGAATCTACTGAAATATGATCGATTTGCTCTTTTCAATTTTGAAGCTAAAGTTGGCATTTCATAATTATGAGTAATTATTGGATTACAATATGATGCTTGTATAATTGCATGTTGACACTGATGTGAATTGTATTTTTCCATAGTACATAAGGGAGTGGTTGAAACCTCCAAATTATAATTTAGATCATTAGTAATTGTATTTTTTCCTCTAAAAGTAGAAATATATATTATACTTAATATTATCATTTATATAATCATTATTATAAGACCTTACTCTACTTTCTGTCCAGATTGATATTGTCTTTGGGAACAATTTTGAAGACCATCTATATTAGTATCACAAGTATTTGCATAATTATTACTTTCACATTTTGGATTTATAGACATATTCTGTCGTTTATTTATAGCTGAAGATTTTAATATGTTAATATAGTTCATATGATGTTCAAGTTTTGAATGTTTACTAGGAATAGCAGATGTGCTACCACTTTTTGCTGCAGTATTATGATAAATTTCCACTACTTCATTAGATGCTTGTTGAGACTTGAATGTATGACGATTACTTACACTATCTAAAATATACATAAAAATCAATATAAAGTTCTCAAATGAACATCTTTATATGATACTTTTTTGTTTTCGTCTTTTTGTATCCTTTTTTCCTAAAAGAACTGTTTCTCTTGTGGTTACAGTACTCCTTGAATTAGAACAATTTATTTTTCTTCTTCGTTTCTTTTTCAATGAAACAATATCATCTAGCTTACATAAAGAACCTTTTTTGCTTGATAATGCTGAAGAAATTGCTCTTTCTTTTTTCTCATTTCTTACAGAAATTTTATTTTTATCACTGGGTCCATCTTTTAAATTACCAGAAATATTCAGTTTTATATTATCTCTTATAGATGGTGATTCTTGAAGTATATAATCATTTTGATTATCCAGAATTAATTGTTCAAATGATTTGTTTGAACATTCAATATTTTCTATCAATTCTGTAGAATATTCTGTTAAATGCTTTTGATATGGGAGTTGCCAATTGTGATTGTGTTCTTCACACTGTTAATAAGATTTTTATAAATATAGTTATGAAGAACAACTTCCTTTAGAATGTGTATCAAATATATTCATGATTTAAACATGATACATACTACCATGTTTTCTTTCTGAATTGGTAATAATGATTTTGATTGTATATGTATATTTTGAATATCATACGTTCGAGGTGTAATTGAAGAAACTTCAATTCCTGCTGCTTTCTGTTTATCAAAATTTTGTAGTTTTTCTTCCTCTTTATCTTGTAGATTAATTTTTGATATAATATTTACTAAACTTGATGTTATAGGTTCATCCTTGTGAATTATATTGTCTGTAACAGAATTTGTTTGTACTTATTTTTATAATTTTGCAATAATAACAGAATATAAAGTAATAAAAAACATCAAATGTTAATATTTATTATATCATTTTCAAACATTTACAAACATACATTCAATATCAGAATAATTTTCCAAAGAATTATTATAATTCATCTGTTTGGAAATTATAGTTTGATCATTATTAGAAGTCTTAATTTTAGAATCTTTCCAATTTGGACTATACAATGTCTTTTTATTTTCTTGTATTTTTGGCATATCATGATATAACATCTTCATATATTTCATATGAGATTTTAACGAATCACATCTTTCTTTTGTAGAATGCAACCATTGTTTTACATTTTTTACATCTAAATAAATAAACATCAATATAATTAGATATATTACAAATATAATATTGTTATTGTAGAATATAATGAAAAATCATATGTAAAACATGTTGAATTATAAAATAGTAAATATATAATTACCAGAGCAATATTTTTTCTTGTTATTAATATCCATATTCTGTTTTAAATTAATTAATATACATAATTTAATTACCAAATAACCATCATAAGTAAGATCAATATTAAAAATTTTAAATTTTTTAACGAATAAATGAAATTTGTAATAATATAAAACTAAAAGAAATCTATAAAAATTCAAGAAATAAGAAGGAAGAATTTCGTAGGTTACGCTTTTATTGTTTATCGATTACATTTTTACATATATATCTTTTGTTTCCGATATGTTCTTCTTTCATTAAAAGAAAATCGTTAACGGAAAATTTTAGTTCTTACCAGAATTTTAAAATATTTAAATTTTATCTTTTTCAATATCGATTTTCGTTTCTTCGCACAATTTAAACATAACATTTTATTATAATAATATTGTTGAATTGAAAAAATTAATTACTATTAAAATATTTAATTTATATACATATAAAATTTATGATATATTTTTATATAAAATTCATAAAACGAATAAAATTAAAGGATTTATATCAAAAACGATCTTTGTCCAATTTCAGTTATAAAGTCTATCACACTTCGTGATTTGATTAGATACATGTAACTTTTTTGTAATATAATTAGAATTAATATAGAATTAAAATTATATAATTAATAGAAGAAAATAAAAAATTTTGAATTTATTGAAGAATAACTGAAGATTTTTAAATTTGAAGAAACAAAATATTTTTTTAAAAAAATAAAAATTGATAAAAATCTTTTTTTATATAAATTCTCAAATTTTGATGCATATTTTATTTTAAAAATGAATCATGAATTATTTAATATTAATCAAGAATCAAATTATTATTTTTTTAAACAAATTGAAAGTACAAATATTAATTTTTGTAATGATATAATAAATGACATCATAACAAATTTTTAAAGAAATTAACAAATTCAAACATTAATAATGAACAAAAAAAATTATATTTAATGTTTTTAAAATAAATTTAAAATAGATTCAAAATCAAATTATAATAATATGCAATATTTAGTCGTTAGGTGCGCTGAGGTCTACCTCTTAATCATATTTTAAGACGACGCAGTTCGCTCTTCTTATGAGTTGTAAATGGTGGATAGTCTGTCATCGTGTTGCGTTAACATCAGGTAATGTGAATTTGTATCTCATTTATGTTTAATTTTTTAAATTATAAATTTAATGAAGAACATGATTTTTACTAATAATTGTCAATCATTCTGTGTAAAGAAACTTAATTTTAATAACAAAAATTATTCCATCTTACAATTTTCTTTGGTGACATTTTCGATTACGTAAAATTGTTGCAGTAGACAAAAATAGTCACCTGACTTAACAAATGCAGACAAAACAAATTCCAGAACTTTAGAAATTTAACAGATTTATTTTACATTTTCATATTATATATTAATTAAAATATTATTAATAATTGAATCAATAACCTATAATACGATTGTATATGAATGAAAAATATTATTTTTTCATATATTTGGATATAAATGCAATTGTGCAATCGCTATAGCTATTTAGAATTCTATAATGAATTCTACATATATACTTTTTTAAGATGCTTTTTTAAATTTAAAATCTTAGTACTTTTATTTACTCCTTTCTTATTTGTATAAGATGATTGACATTTAATCACTTAAGAGAAATGTCATATATTTCTTATATTTCATTTATTTATAAGTGAACACAATTTTTTTCAAATATTTTAAAAGCTAAAAATCTATTTAAAAAAAATTGATTTTTGTCATTTATTTTTCGTTATAATTTTTTTTATAAAATGATCATAAACACAACTTAAATCTGTAAACTTATAGGAATTTGAAAAATAAATATATATTTATATTTGCCGGTATAAATTACATAATAAAGAAAATTAAGTTAATATTTTATTATACGCATTTATTATCGTTTTTTGTTTTGTTCTATTCAAAATCTTATATAAATTTTATATATTTCTAATTGATATATATATTCGTACGATTACTCGTAATATGTTGTAATAATTGATAATTCGTTATCGTTTTTATATCATAATTATTATGAACATTTTTTTATTGCTTTCAATTTAAATTGTATAATATTATAATATTATTTATTATAATATTAAAATGAATTTTATGCTAATATAAATTATGATCTAACCTAATATTTTTGGCATATATATTTATTTCTTGTCGTATAAATTTACATAATGAAATTGAATATAGAGAATTTATTATGAATTCTTATAATGTATTTTGACTTTTTTACTTGATTTTAAAATAGATGAATTTTATTTATTTTATATTAATAATATATTATGCTGATTATAGAAGTATTAAATTAATTTATGATATATTTCTTATTTATTATTAATGTTTATGATTGTATATTTATATATATAAATAATAATATATATATATTATTTTAACTTTCAAATTTATATTGAATTTTCTTTTTCATTTTTTTTTAATATCATTTAATTATATTATGTAGAAATTATTTTGTTAATATTCATAAGATATAATTTATTATATATTTATAGTTCGTTTTTTTATATGTAATTATAATAACAAAAAATTTTTTAATCTAAATATATTATTATTTTATCATTATCATTATACTTTAATATTCAAAAAATTATTAATTTATATTGATATCAAATTAACAATTTTGATAATTATATATTGTTATATTAAATTATTATTTAGTATATACTATTTATTATCATACAAATATTTATTAATATTAATATTGTCACTAATTTTTTTTAAATATTTATTTTCCATAATTGTACATGATACATAAATTGATTGATTTCATCATGTACTAAATTTTAAAGTTGGCAATCATATGTGATTGTGCAATTATAATTAAAAGGAAATTTAAAAATATTTTTTTATAAATAGAATCTTACAAAATGATTTCATAAGAAAATTATTTTTTAGAAAAATATATTAGATTATTTAAGAAAAAATATTAATTTATTTTAAATATAATATATTAGTGATATTAATGCTTTTTTTTTCTGGAAAAGAAATTAAGTTTAAAGTTACTACATTCATATATAGAAGAAGAAATGAATCAAGATATATAAATATAATTATATATTATTATATTAGACAATCATGTATATATATATATAATATTTTGATTAGCATTTTGATTAGATAAAATTTTATACTTGAAAGCAAATTTATAAAATTTATTTATCTTTTATTATTTAATTTATTTTCTTATTTTGTTTTCTGAGTAAATATAAATAAAAATATATAATATAAACAAAATATAAACTCTCTATAACATTATTATTTGTTTCAGGTAAAAATGTATAAGGCAAGGACAGTATTTAGTACATTAACTCCTTTGGCACCTCGAATGTGCAAACCTGAAAGGTTTGCTTCATGGCTGGTACGAAGCCATCCTCTAACAAGAACTACACAAGTGATGGTTGCCAAATCAGCCAAAAAGTATAGCAATCGGGTAGCAACAGAACCTTTTCTCAATGGAAGTTCTAGCTCTTATGTAGAAGAAATGTATAATGCATGGCTACAAGATCCTCATAGTGTACATGTGGTTAGTAATAAATTTATAAAATATATTATTATTACTAATGTAAATAATAATGATAATTTTGTACGTATTTTATTTTTTTTGTAGTCTTGGGATTCATTTTTCCGTAGTAGTACTGCTGGAGCTGCACCAGGTCTTGCATATCAGGCTCCTCCTTCTCTTGCTCCAAGTCATAACCAAGTTCCATTAGGAGCATTATTACCACTTGGTGGAAGTACTCAATTAAGCCAAATACCTATTACTGAAAAGATAATTGATGACCATCTGGCTGTTCAAGCTATTATTCGTTCTTATCAGGTATATTAATTTTATATTATGTATTTAAAAAAAAATAGAAATTTGAAAAACATATTTTTAAGCACTTCAAATTTCTTATATATATTACAAAAAATGTGTTTATTATATATTTTTAAATAATTTCATTTTTCTTCTTTATCTTATGAGATATTCAATTTAAGTAAACATTTTGGCTTCATGTTAAAGCTTTTAGATGTTTTATTTTATTTTTTGAAATCATTGAGAAAAATGTCTTAATATTTTGAATGTAATTCAATCATTATTTGATCTTGAAACATTGTAGCATGTGTTCTAGAAACATTGTATGTATGTTTTATGTTGAAGGGAAATTTTTACTATCATTGCATGTGACATAAAGAGTTTCTTCTCAATTTCCATGTCCTAATTTCTTCTTTTTTTTATTTCTTAACATCATATTTATGTTTACTAATCTAATTAATATATTAATTTTGCAAATGAAAAAAAGAGAAAAAAAGAAAATTATGAAATATAGGACATAAGAAATTGATATTGAAACTGGTTTATTAAGGGCTATCATGTGTTTCATGAAATAATTCATCATTTCATGCTATCATTAAAAAAATGAATATTTCAAATACATTACAATATCAAATCAGTCAAATATTGCATAATAATCTCATTCCATTAGATGCTTATTGCATCTATTACCTTTAGCATGTTTTACAGTTAAATATTTCCCAAGCTATATGTCAAACTTTTATAAATTGTATCATTAATATATTATAATTGTATATCATATATAATGCATATTACATAATCATTAATACATAATAAAAGAAATGAATCAATAAAAAATTAATGAAATACATATATATATATATATAAAGTATATATAGTAGATATATATATATATATATATATAGTATATATAGTAGATATATATATATATATATATCTACTATAAAATAATTTACTATTAAAAATAGTTTATTTACAAAAAGTAGATTAAAATAGTATTTTTTTATTAATTTAACCAAAAATTTGATATAAAAGCTACAATATTTCTAACTTTATTATTTATTTCACATATTTAAAAAATTCTAATATGTATTTTTATGTGGTTTTAAAAATGTATAAATTAAAAATTTTAATGTGCTAATGTAATAATTAGTATTAAAAATAATTAATAGTTAAGGGGTAGTTACAATTTTAATATCAATTAATTATATAAAATATTAAATGTATCTTTATATGGTAGTAATGTATTGTAGTAATAAATAGAAAAACTGATATACATTGGGGTCGTTTTGGAATTATTTATTGGCATATAGGCTCGAGGTCACTTAGTTGCTGATCTGGACCCACTGGGTATCATGCAAACAGACCTGATACATACACATTATGCAGCCCGCAAGGGATCTCCAGAACAGGTTCTGCGACAATATATGCTTGGTAAGGCTTTTACCCAAACCTATTCCTTAAACTATTATTTCAATTTTTATGTGTATCATAAGGTAAAGGTGTGCTATTCATAATATATATACCATTTTAAATTTGGCTTTAGATTATACTTGTTTGTTACCTTTGTCAAAATTCATCAAAATATTAATACTTTCATATTATTAGAACATTTTTAAAACACCTTCACCAGTTACATCATATTTCACATCATAAAAATAAACATGGTTTTCATCATACATATTAACTCCTTCTTGATTATTATATCTTTTTTTCTCCAATATTCTGTTCATTATATGATAAACATATTTTTTATTTTATATAAAATTTAATATTTTCTGTGAAGTCTTCTTTAAAAAGAATTATTATATGTTATAAAATATATAATTAAAATAGTTTTTCTTATATATTTATATATTGGAGAATAAAAATATTAATAATATTAATAAAATAATGAAAGAATTATTAACAAATATTAAATATAAATATTGAATAGAATTGAATAGAATAAGAAGGTGTTATGTGAATGTAAATCCATGATAAATTTTACTGATACTGAAAATGTTTTTCTTAAAAAAATATGGAATGTTTATTAGTTTATATTTTGTAATTAATTTAATGTATTGATAATATGTTAAGTATATCAATGAAAATGTGTAAATAGTTCTTATATTATTATTCTGTAATTTATGTGTAATTATTTATGATATATTTAAATAATTTATATAACAAGAAAACATATATAACAAGAAAATTATCTAAGGTAAGAAAAATTTGGAAATCATTGCTTTGCATGCTTGCAAATGTTATCAGCTTTGCTTTTATATGTTTGCAATTATTATTTGAAGAATGTTTGTTTCTGGAACAATTTACTATTTAACTTTATTATATTGTAATTATTGATTTTTTATCTATAGCAGAATTTTATTTTAATTTTTATATATTTGTTTAATTTAATTATTCAAAAAATTATGAAATAACAATTAAATATTTCTAGTATATATTTTAAGTATATAAATAATAAGTTTAATAATAGAAAGTATATACATAACATGCTTTAATTGTTAAAATATTAATATTAACGAATATTTATTCATAATATGTTTGTTTTTAATTACTGTGATGTTACGTTTTTTAAAAAAAAAATTTTTTTTGTCTGTCTCTTTTTCTTTCTTTTTCTCTTTTTTAATACATATAAATAAATATTTTAAAACATATTTAAGTAAACATCTATCACAGTAATTTATTTTAATGTATATAATGAGTTGATAAGTTTGAAAACTAAAAATTATTTGGTTCGTATGAATGTGGCGTTAAATTGACAGATTCGTGGCCATCATATCGCTAAATTGGATCCACTTGGCATCAACAGCGCTGATCTTGATGATAGACATCCACAAGAGTTGCTCTATAATCATTATTCATTCGGTAAGCCTAAATGAACGTGTCTCTGTATAAAGCAAAAATATAAAGATACTGTGATGCACTTTAATTGACGCACTTTAATTGAGGTATTTCGATACATTAAAAGAATAGTAAAAAAATGGATTATTTGAAACAATATTTCATTTTATTGTTTTTTAGCATCCTTATTTTAAAAATATTTATATGATATATAAAAAATTTTTTTTATTACAATATGATACTTAATGCTATTATGTTGTGTTTATTATTATGATTCATATATTATTACATTTTTTTCCTGGTCACAAAATACAGCATATATAAATACAAAAAAAATCTTGAATTTTAATTAGATTAAAAGTTAGTAAAATGAAATTATTTTTATTTAAGAACAAAACCTTATTATAATACAAAAAGTTCAATAATTTATTATTCAGTTCAAGTCTAATGTCCACAGGAAACACAGCACATACAACTTACTCACAGGAACTACAATATAAAATAGCTGCACTTATGAAAAGTATGTAAGAATTATAATTCAAATGAAAATCCAATTTAAAGTTTTTGAATTTTTAGTATCTTTGGGAAGCGCTGGTTTATTATATATAATGGAATTATATAAAAATTGGTGTTGCAAACAAATTGTAAAGGTGCTTGGGTTTTTTGTATAAATATTGTTTGAAAAACTGCTCTATTTTGCTATAAAGATATTTGTGCCAGGAATAATTTTTTTTTTTTGGGAAGAATTAAAGAAAGTATAATAATTAAATTACATTATTATCATAATAATTTATGTAAGATGTTTAATATAATGAAAAATAAGTATAATTATTTATAAATCATATTTGTAAATATGGCTCTTCAACTTCTTATTTATTTATTAAATATCTTTTATACATTCATTATTTTTCAAATTTTACATTTTTTTGTATTCTTTTTTATTTTAATTTATAAATTGTGTAATCAATAATATATATATTTAAAAATCTTATAATATTATTGTAGTGTTATCATTTTGGTACTGTTGGTGATTGTTTTTACTAATAATGCTTCATTAAGGTTTACAGCTTTGTATTTGAATATTTTTTTCAGTTTTCAATTTATTTCTATTTTTATAAATATTGTGGAGAAGGTTTGTTATATATTTTGTTAAACCAATAATCTTGATTATTGGTTTTTTTTAAGATATGATGCATGCATATATTACGCGTCAAATTTTTTGCATATATTTACACATAATATTATTAAAAAAATTATTTGTAAGTTACGAAGATAGAAAAATGCGAATATAAAAAATATTGCATTTAAGTTTCGTATTGTACAAAGTTATCTTTTTTTTTTATTTTTTTGCTTTATAAATAGTTCACATTTTCAGTATCAGTAATAAAAAAAAATATATTATACTTTAATTAAAAAAGGTGCGTATTACATATAGCAAGTATTTAAAAAAAAATTTATTTGAAATTAAATTTTTTGTTGTTAAATATGTGACGCTTGTTCTTTATAATATTCATTTTTTTTAAAATTAAATATTTTATTATTCACATTCTACAGAAGAGTCAGACATGGATCGTATTTTCAAATTACCGTCCACCACTTTTATCGGAGGCAAAGAAAAATCATTGCCTCTTCGTGAAATCTTAAAGAGATTAGAAGCTGCTTACTGTGGTCACATTGGTGTGGAATTTATGTTTATTAACTCCTTAGAACAATGCAATTGGATTCGGCAAAAAATGGAGACACCCGGTATTATGGAAATGACAAATGATGAAAGGAGACTTATTTTGGCTAGATTAACTCGAGCAACTGGGTATATATATTAAAATATCAATATTTGTATATTAAATCAGCAATAATATATTTAATCCTATTTTTTGTATTATATTATAGATTTGAAGCATTTCTTGCTCGTAAATGGTCATCTGAGAAAAGATTTGGTTTAGAGGGATGTGAAATTCTAATTCCTGCTATGAAACAAGTAATTGATAAATCAACTGAATTAGGAGTTGAATCCATTGTTATGGGTATGCCTCATCGGGGTCGTTTAAATGTCCTTGCTAATGTATGCCGCAAGCCTTTAAGTCAAATATTTACCCAATTTGCTGCTCTTGAAGCAGCTGATGATGTAAGCATATATAATATATATGTTATAAAATTTGATTTATTATATATATTTTATTCATTCTTAATAATTTAGGGATCCGGTGATGTTAAATATCATTTGGGAACGTATATTGAGCGTTTAAATCGAGTAACAAATAAAAACATTCGTTTGGCTGTGGTGGCAAATCCATCTCATTTGGAAGCTGTTGATCCAGTAGTGCAAGGAAAGACTCGTGCAGAACAATTCTATCGTGGTGACGGTGAAGGTAAAAAGGTGCGATATAAAAATTATAATAACAATTTATATTAGTTTTTAATTTAAATAATAATTTGCATTATTAATAAAATAACATTAAATTTTTATCATTGAATTTAACAGGTCATGTCTATTCTTCTGCATGGTGATGCTGCATTTTGTGGACAGGGTATTGTTTTTGAAACAATGCACTTATCAGATTTGCCTGATTACACAACTCATGGTACTATTCATATTGTGGTGAATAATCAAATTGGATTTACAACAGATCCAAGACATTCACGATCTTCTCCATACTGTACTGGTAAATATTACATATAGAAAATAATATTTTTATATTTTAAAATTTATTTAATTAGTAATTTAAAATAATTATTAAATTTTATTTAAATTATGTTTGAATTTTTGAAAGATGTTGCAAGAGTAGTGAATGCACCTATCTTCCATGTTAATTCGGATGATCCTGAGGCAGTGATGCATGTTTGTAAAGTTGCTGCAGAATGGAGAGCAACTTTTCATAAAGATGTTGTTATTGATATTGTATCATATAGACGAAATGGTCATAATGAAATTGATGAACCTATGTTTACACAACCTTTAATGTATCGCAAAATTAAAAATACTCCACCAGTTCTAGACAAATATGCTAAAACTCTTACTGACGATGGTGTTGTCACTTCTGAAGAAGTTAAGGTATTGACTTAAGATATTTTAATTATTTAAGTATATGTGATGGAATTATTGTAATAATATTATTATAGGATGTTAAAGATAAATATGAAAAAATTTGTGAAGAAGCATATGTTAATGCTAAACAAGAAACACATATTAAATATAAAGACTGGTTGGATTCTCCATGGTCTGGTTTTTTTGAAGGAAAAGATCCTTTGAAAGTATCTCCTACTGGTATTAAAGAAGACACACTCATTCATATTGGAAAAAAATTCTCATCACCACCACCCAATGCAGCAGAATTTGTAGTTCATAAAGGTAAATATATTTTTTAATAGTTTTAATATATATATAGAATATATTATATATATAGAAGTAATATTAAATAATTCGAAATATATAAATATTAAATAATTTGAAATATATAAATATTAAATAGGTATTGAACGTATTTTGAAATCTCGTATGGAAATGATAGAAGCTCGAACAGTTGATTGGGCTCTTGGAGAAGCTATGGCTTTTGGTTCCTTACTTAAAGAAGGCATTCATGTTAGATTGTCAGGTCAAGATGTAGAAAGAGGAACCTTTTCACATAGACATCATGTTCTTCATCATCAAACTGTAGATAAAGCTACTTATAGACCATTATGTTATCTTTATCCAGATCAAGCTCCATACACTGTGTGCAATAGTTCTTTATCAGAATTTGGTGTTCTTGGTAAAAATGTTAAAATATTTTTTACATTGATTTTGTATATATTATGTTTTGATGACTATAACTAATGAAATTTTTATATTTAAAATTTTTAAATTTTCAGGATTTGAATTAGGTTATTCTATGACAAATCCTAATGCATTAGTATGCTGGGAAGCACAATTTGGTGATTTCAACAATACAGCACAATGCATAATCGATCAATTTATTAGCAGTGGTCAAGCTAAATGGGTACGTCAATCTGGTCTTGTTATGCTGCAACCTCATGGTCTTGAAGGAATGGTGAATATATTTTAAATATTTTCTTTTTATATTTATAATATGACAATGAATAATTCGTTATATTATATTTTTATAGGGACCTGAACATTCCAGTGCTCGCTTGGAACGTTTTTTACAAATGTCGGCTGATGATCCAGATTATTTTCCTCCTGAAAATGAAGAATTTGCTGTACGCCAGTTACATGATATCAACTGGATTGTAGCTAATTGCAGTACACCAGCAAATTATTTTCATATTTTAAGAAGACAAATTGCATTGCCATTTAGAAAACCTTTGATTTTAATGACACCAAAATCATTACTTCGTCATCCAGAAGCGAAATCTAGCTTCGATTTAATGCTAGAAAATACAGAGTTTCTTAGAGTAATACCAGAAGAAGGTGTAGCTTCTCAAAATCCTAATAATGTTAAAAGAGTGCTTTTTTGTTCTGGTAAGATTTACTATGATCTAAAAAAAGCACGTGCAGAGAAAAATTTGGATGATAAAGTCGCTATTGTAAGAGTTGAACAGGTAAATAGCAATAAATATCAAGTTTTGAACTTTTTACTTCTATCGTATTAATTTATCTGAGTAAATTTATTTGAATATTTTTATTTATAGATTTCACCTTTCCCATATGATTTAGTTAAAAAAGAAGCTGTTAAATATTCCAATGCAGATTTAGTATGGGCTCAAGAAGAACACAAAAATCAAGGTGCATGGACATATATTCAACCTAGATTCCATACAGCTCTTAATGGAATTCGTTCTGTATCGTAAGTATCAATTTTTTAAAAAATTATATATTTTAAATTATTTTTGTTTTTGTTTTGATGAATTTTTTAATGAATTTTAATATCATATAGTCATTTAATTGATAATTGTATATATAGATTATTAAGAAATACAATTATCATTTATTTTAAATGTTCAATACGTTTTTCACGGCTTTAGCTGTTTACATGGCTCAAGTTTTTTACTTTGTCGTTTTTAATATAATATAAAATTTCGATATAAATATATCATAATAAGCAATATATTTGCACTAAGTTTGTCACTAATTTGTTTTGTACGCGTGCTTACAAAGTAAACAATTGGGCCATGTTACAGCAGCGGAAATACATCATACGACAGTAAGGATAGCAGAGGGTGGTTTAGTAGTTGGTTTTCAACTAAACCAACAATTGTGTCCGAGCCACTATCAAAAGAATCTAATAAATCCAAACAGAGAATATTAAGGTAATGTTAATCATAGTATTTAATTAGAATATCTGTTATAATTTTATTTGTTCCTTACTGTTCATGATGATAAATATATAATATTTAATAATAATTAATTTCAATTTGTAAATTTAACTTTCTGTTTCAGATATGTTGGTCGACCAACGGGAGCATCACCCGCAACAGGAAGCAAAATGCAACATCTTAAAGAATTGAAACAATTACTTGATGACTCCTTCAATCTTTAATTATTCTTCATAGCACTATGTATAACACATTTTATTTATTTTCTTCATTATACTTGTTATATTCTTTTTGTCCTGCTCTACATCACTCTTTTAGAGATTAACATAACTTGCAATTTTCTTTATTATTAATTCATTTAGAATTATCGCACGTACAAATATTTTCTTGATAGATTTATTATAAAATTTATGTAGTTTGTATTAATTCTTTTAAAATTTCTATCTTACATAAGTGCAATGATCGAATCAATAACTTAATACTTCAAAACATTTTTTTGCTTTGATTAAAAAAAAATAAAAAATATAAATTCAATGAAAAATATAAAAATTAATAATAAATATTTGAAGTCAATACTTAAGTTTTGTTTCTAATATAAATATTCTGATATGCAATGAGTAATTCATGAAAATATATGCATTTCATTCTTATTTAATGTTTGAATGCGATTCTGTATATTTTCTTTTTTTTTTTAAATACATAACATATTTATATTAGTATGTGAGTTGAATGTTGAGCCTAGTGTATGTTTGAGTTCACAGAAATATTTTATTATGTAAATATACCAATTATATATATATGTATATGTATATGTGTATATATATACATATATATAATGTAAATTATATTAGCACAAAACATTTTAGCATGTCTTACTCATTGTTCAGTTGTTAAATTTTAATGATACAACCAAATTATATTAATTGAAAATATTCGTACGTGAGAATACATTTGTATTTTATTTTGTTATATATTGATATAAAATTAACATTATGAGAAATGAAGAGAAAGAAAAAGTATTATTTTTAATTTATATATAACATTTTACGCAGAGCGTAAATGTTTCTGTGGTTATGACTGTGGAGATTTAAATTAAACTTTTCAGGGTTGGTATTGTGTATTTACGGCAATTTTTTTATTCATTTATTTATGCCGTAGTAAAGAACAGCCAATTGATTTAATTCTTTATCGTTACTCTATTTTTATAAAGAATTAAATGATTGGTAGGATCGTAGAATTATACGAAGAAATAGATTGTAATATTAGACTCACTTCCGTAACAAATTATGAAAATGTAAATTTATATAAATTTAAAAAAAAATTTTTACGAAATTGAGTTATAATGTTACTCTTTGAAAAGTTTTGAAACATTCTCCCTTTTAAAGAGTCAACTTGCTAATGCTAGTGAATATAAAAAAATATATATTTTATTATTATTTTATTTTATCCAATGCGCACGTGTACACGGTATGCGTTGGTATAGTCTGCGAAGGCACAGTATTTATATGTATAATTCATTTCAAAAATAGAATTTATGAATGGAATATTTATTGTACCGTATCATTGATTATATTAGTATTCATTGAAAACTATTATTTTAAATTCAAATATATAATTTATTATAATTATCTTTTATGTTCTACTTATAAAAAATAAAAAAAAATGATACACAATATTTTGTAATCCATTAAATACAATATGGTCCAATCAAAATTGCGGTACTGTTATTCCAATCATCAGTTTTTGTTATTATATGCATAATAAGGATGATAAATATATGCTTTAATATTAAAAAGAGAATAGATTAATAGATCAGAAAGTTGCTGATGAAAATAAATTGAAATTTACTTATATTAGTATATTTGCATCAATATATTAGGGTAAATATTGTAACATCTTATTATGAAATTAAATTATGTTAGCCATTATCAAGTATTTTTAAATAATTATTTCCCTTTTTAATAATATTCAATATTTTTGTTCAATATATTGATTATTATTTAAATGTAAATATGAGAAAATATGAGGAAGTAATAAAATAATATTCATTATTTCATATGTGACTCACACTTAATGTTTATTTGCTCATATTATTTTTAAAATAAGGAAAAATTTAATATACATGATGGTATAATTTTTACATAAATAAAATTCACAGCACTATGTAAAAATTTACAGAAGCTTCATATTTAATATTTCATTTAATAATGGTATTTATTTAATGTTTCATTTAGAAATTTCGCTTTATTTTAACAAGTTTTTTTTATTATGTTTATTTTTTAATTTGTTGCAATGAACAATAAATAAAATATATATATATTAATAAGATATATTTATAATCAGTTCATAAATTAATAATCAGTTTGTCCCAAAACACTATACATAATCCTCTTGAAGCTGTTACTTTGATGGATTTTTTCACCATCATCATCGAGAATATTTATCTAAAAAGAAATTATAAATTTCCATTGTTCTTGGAAGTAAGTAACAATATTAATAAATTTCACAAATATTGAAAATTAGTGTGATAATGATAACTATTCAATACTTGATATTTTAATGAATAATTAAATTGAATTAATTTTTAAATGAATTTTAGTTTTTCAAATATTTAGGAAAAATCTATTGTCAAAATATTTATACATGAACATATAATATTATATAAATATATAAAAATTATTCATATAAATATTGATGTAAAATTTTATAATTGTTCATATAATCTTTTATTTATATGTAAAAAGATCTAAAACTTTGATTCTCAATTAAATAAATATTGATTATTAATCATAATTTCATATTAAACATTTTTTAATACAAGAAATGTTATATAATGCTATAAACGTGATATAAAATAATGTTAAAATATAATAAAAACTAATATAACGAAAATTTAAATATTTAAAGTTTTACTTACATAAGGTCCTGCAGGACTTTTTGGTCGAGGGTGATATATCTGAGAATATTATAGTTTATAAAATAATTAGTTTATATAAATAAGAAATGAATAATAATAATAATAATTTTAGAGATTTAATTATTAAATTTAATTATTTTTCATACATACTCTATTTTGGTTAACTTTTTGTGGAGAGAAAACACCGGTGCGTGCTGGTTGTTTCACTTCTTGTACTGTATCGCCGAGCGCTTCTTCTTGCAGAGCCTTGTAAGCCTCGCTTTTACTTGGGTCGTACTTCATCGGTTTCTTCGGGCTGTACCATTACATTGTATACATAGACTATTTTTAATTTATTTGCCTTGATTTTGTCAAATCGATTAGCCAGGGTTATATCATCAATTATTTGTTCGAGAGCGACTTTCAGACTGCTTCCATGCTTTTTTTCATTAATCCTTTTTTATTAGTCCTGAATATGTCTAAATCCTTGATGCTTTTTCTCGAGAATCGTGCGTGATTTTAATTCTTAATTTTTGTAGTTATTAAATATGTTATATAATGCTTCACATTGATAATTGATAATAAATTCTCGAGAAATGCTTTTTCATTATAAGTACATGTAACTATTATAAAATTAGTAAGGCTACTAATTTACATGAACATTTACTATGATTAATTATTGATTATTTTCAACAATACACCATGCAAATGTATAGTATTGTTATTTTACAAACTTTTTTTGTGATTTATTTTCTAATATTTATGTCGACTTTATCGACTCTACTCGATATTATTAATAAAACAAACTGCAATTGTATCATAATCCTAATAAATAATAATATTTTACAAACATTTTATAAATAATAAACTAAAACAAAACTCGTTCAAATAAATAAATACTTGATCGAACGCTAATCAAAATTTCAATCACAAATAGTCACGTTCATTTGTCCCATTAAAAAAATAAATAAAAAATGTATAATACAGTTATTATTTTCAATGATGAAAGAGAAACAATTTCAAGACAAAAAACGTGATTTATGCGAAAACCGAGAAAAAATTTGAAACTACGAATTTACTATACAACGTGCGAGAAGCATCGAAAAACGTCTCGAACTGAATATTAATTTGGTTTATTGAATTGCGGCCACACATTCTTCGAGGAGGCAGCCTTAGCCTGCTCTTTCAAGATTCTCGCTTGTTCTTCTATTTCTTGTTTCTGTTTCACGAAGGAAAAATCTATGAAAATGCTGGAAAACAAATAAACTGCACGTGAGTGTATGTCATCCACTTAGAAAGAATATAACAGTCTGAGCTGCGATTTCTTTTCTATATCCATACTTCTTATATTATGATTGTTTCCTCAATAAAATCTATCTTCGATTTAAAATTTCCAACAAATATCCTTTCCAGGTAAAATATAGATCATTCTTCTTATACATCATTATTTAAGTTATAATTTAAAAATATCCGTTAGTCGATAGCGTAAAAAAATTATCAACTGCTCAGAGTTAATAGTTTGATAAGTAGCAGCATTCAGCAAAAATCAAATTGTATTATTAAATCATATTATTAATGCTAGTAATTTTATTATGCTTTATTTGCAAGCTATATACAGTGTATTAACTTTTGTTTTATAATAATACTTTTATTTATTATTACTTACGGTATAGCAGATGCTTGGCATTTTATAGTATCAGCAATATTTTCTTCGGAATAGAGTCCGATCGGTGAGTTAAATTGTTTGTGGACAACCTAATAACAAAATTAAATGAAACAATAAATGATAATTATAATAATTACAAAATAATTAAAATTGCTATTGTTGATTTCTTTTCATCTTCTTTTTTTCTTCTCTTTCTTCTTCTTTTTGCTTTTTTACATAAATAAATTTCTAAATGTTTACGATTTACACAAAAATTTATCATTTTTGAAAATATTAGTTTAAAAATTGCGTTTCATTGCAATGCGATATAAGAATTATTCGATAATGTTTTGATATATGTTTAACATATTTTTATTTAATTATATGCTATACTTAATTAAATAATTTCAGTTCAGTATCGTAAATTATGCTCGAATATGATTTAAAATTGGAAAGAAATCCTCAGATCGAGTTCTCTGATGAGGATTTTTTTTATATTCTAAATCTAAACTTAAATCAATAAATTCGGTTAAAACCTTTTGCATGAATAATATAGATAATATATTATAGATAATATTGAAAATCGATCAAGATGATTAATTAGTGATAAAAATATCGATCGCATGCCGCATTATTGATTGATATTTGCAAGTGGTCGGAAAAGAAAAATTAAAAGATAATGATATAGTTCTTAATCAAAGCAAAAGCATCAGTTGATGATGAAAGCGAAAGCAACTTGAGAATAAAATAATCCAAACCTTTGGAACTTCATTCGGTCCCAAGACACGTTGAAGTACCGTTTCTGCCACCTAATCAGATGTTATATATTTACAAATTAATATCTTGTAATTGTGATTATTAATGTTTAACAACATGTTTCCACGAAGAAGAAAGAATTGTTCGTCCTCTTTCAAGCGAATTGGAATAAATTTTTTTTTTTTTTTTTCGTAAATAAAAGCCGTTTATAACGCGAGATCGAATGAAACGAAACGCACCTTTTGTTTCATAGCAACCTCTGGATGAGCAGGTTCGTAATGATGCGGCGCCGCCCTGATCATCGGATTTGGATGATGGCGCAAGTAGCATTCTCCGAGCGGAGCATCCTTTTTGATCTTTGCACCTGGCAAGACCAGAGGAGTTGTGCGGTACGGCTAAAAATCAATATCAACAATATTTCGGTTAATTTCGATTCGATAGATACGATATCGTATTCGTTTCGTTTAGAAATCATTAGTTCAATCAAATATTTATAAACTGAATGTTTTAAATGAGGAGAAACATAAATTTTTTTTAATCGTTTTTAAACCTCGTAAATTTTTTAAACGTTTCCAATAAGCTAAGTAGGCGTGGAATATTCTGCCAAAACGATGTCAATTACAAACTAATGAAATCTAAAATAAACCTCTTTATGAGACGGTAGTGACCGATAATACCTCATTAATTTTCAACATCGTTGCGATCTATGAATAACCGCATTTAAAAATACACGATACGTTAATACGTTGTTTTTTTATGCTGTTTATCTATTTATTATATTTTATTTTTTTTTTTTCACAATAATATTCGTGATAATTTTTACATCGAACAGCGAAACAAGATATTGATATTTTTGTCAAACTATCGCGAGCGAGCACGAACTATAGGATGCATACGATTCGATCGTATATTACTATCAGATGAAAGTTGATCATGAGGTAACTGAGATTTCAACTTCTTGGCTCGTATCTTGTCAACGAGAGATTTGCATAAAACATTACGTTACATTACGAACAACCTGTGCTGCCAAATATTTTCGTTGTTGCGCTGAATTACGAAATTATTAAAAATACAATTGAACAGACTTTTCACAAGTATCAAAGAGAAAAGGACAAAATGACAAAGAATGAAGAGGAAAATCATGATCCATGAAAAAAAATGCCGAGATCTTCTTCTTCTTCATTCGTTTTATGCTTGCTCGATTAGAAGAAGCTCGATTCTTGATTTGATCGTTGAGTATCGTCGTTGTTAAAATATGACGAAAATCAGAATGTCAAGCGGAACGTTGTAGAAAGAACGGTAGGATAAGGTTACGCATCGTATTTATAAGACGCGGTTGCAAGAATAGAAGATCGGATTCGAATTCAGCTAGCATCGACTTTGCCTCAAAGAATTGGAACAGAGGCAACAACGATTCAAACAATTGAATGCAACGAGAAACGTTGAATTTCACGAGAGATATACGTATCGGATAACGATTATAATTATTTCATTATAAATGGATCGGAAACAGTATTTTACAGAATGAGCAATGGTATCTCTTTCTCGAAATAGATGAAGGCCCCTAGCCGGCAAAAATAACGTGTACCTCGTTTGCTGCGAAATCTTTCTCCGTCGCGATCAATGTTTATTAAGTTTCTATTAATTTTTATTGATTTTTTTTTTTAATTAAATAAGTAAATCCAAAAGGAAATTACAATCGATTCTTTTTTTTTTTTATCGAGCATGTATATATATATATTATTCATAGAAAATGGCAACATTTCGATAAAGCGAATTATTGTTTTTGTTATTTAATAAAATGTCATCCAATTAAATTGGAATATCGAAACAATTATTTCAAAAAATATTTATCGATAATAATGAATCGAAAAACTACTATTCTAATAATAAGAAAATCTGTAATTCTATAATTTCGTGGCTATAATATATAAAAATAACAAACGTACGATATTTTGTAGATCCATTTCACAGATTGAAATATTCTCAATTATATACAACAATAAAATTTTCCCCACGTATTTTTCATTTTGCTTACAATATATCTTTTTTTCAAACCATAACCCGAAAGAATCTTTTTAACGAAGCTATTCTTTGGAAAGTGAAGAGGACAAAATATATCGAGGTTGTATGACCCTCTTGTGTTTGAGTAACCCAGATCTCATTTACGAAAATAGAATAAGATAGCAATGAATAGCCTGTAACGTTACATGCGTTTTATTGCATCGTGTAAATGCTGTGATTCTTCTGTCAACCGAATCGTTTCTTCCTTTTCATTGTATCGTGTTTTTTTAGATTATATATCATTTCGTGTTAAACTTGAACGAAAATTTCGTCTCATTGTCTTTTTCAATGTCATACAGGGATAGAATCGAGACCTAGCCCTAGACTCTTACGATGTCAAGGTTGGCACGCGACTTTGTAAGTCGAAATCTAGATCATCTAACGCTATGTTCACTTCTAAAATAGGTACATGATTTCAATGGTTAATTTATATATTTTAATATGTTCGGGAAAAAATTCCTCGGATTAAGACGAATCAAAAGAAAAAAAAACTTTCCATCAAGAACAACACAACTTTCCTCGATATTACTTTGAAAATTAAAGCATCGCATACGCAAAATGTATTAAGCAAAATGTCAAGATTGTTCGAGATTCGTTTTCTTTTTTCTCTCAATTAAAATTTTCCTCTCTACTGAACATCGATGATATTAAAAAAATAATTCTAATAACGATGAATATAAGCGCATAGAAAATATGATCATCACATTATAATCGTATTAGTATATTATAATCGTATTAGTTATATTATGATGGTGATGAATTATATCGATATATTTCCTTTGAATTTCAATTGACTTGTTTCGTACCCAAAACACGGCAGCCTCCTCCTCTTTCGGCTGGTGTTCGATGTTATGACGATAAACGGTCGTATAAGCCGGCATTGTTCTTTAATCGAACCAAAGGTTCGTGTTTCTGCAACCGATGATTGACCACTCTCAAGGAAAAAAAATCGATTCCTTTTTTTTTGTCGTTTCTATCGAGATGTTGTTACACTCTTTTCCTTTTTTCCTCTCTTCTTACGAATATGTATTCGCTAACGCACTGTCTCGTTGCGCGGGCGGCACTAACTCTGGTCTTTTCCACGCGACTCCTCTTGCGCTCTTTCTTCTCCTCTCCACGTATTACCGACACATATCTCGATCATTCCCACGTTTACCCTCTTGATCGGTAATACGATCCTTATCTTTCATTTCGTTTCGTTTTTTTTTTACAATCCTTTTTCATCTTCTTCTATCATCTTCTTTTCAGATGTAAAAATTCTGTTATATCATATAAATAATTGTTTCTACGGAACAATTACATTATTCATTCATTTTCAATTTCGACTTTTATTTTTTCACTGCAATTTAAAATGATATTTTTAATCGATTGTGTCACATTTGGACTCGTACCAAATCTTGAAAAAGCTTCAGAATATTCATAATAGTTTGAAACAATATGAATGTTTATTGTTTATACCATTGTTTAAATATTTCGAGACTTTCACCGTATCCTTATGCTTGCCACGTCTATTGAGCATCAAGCAACCAATGCTTTCTTTAGTTTAATGGATCGATGTATGGCTCCGACCTTGGACGAAAAAATTGTTGTTTTTCTTGGCAGCATCCCTTTTCAATGAATGTTCAACATTTAATGCATTCTCTCATGAACATCATTATTGATTTTTTTCTTTTTCGTCAGGATTTTTCCATAACGTAATGCTTTTAATGCTTGACGCAAATTTGATATTTCATGAAATGATAGGGAATGTACAGGAATGTGCGTACACGTGATACATCCCGTTTTCCTGGAAATTTGTTTAGATCGATATTTCGTTATTGAAATCGATGACAGGATGACAAGAATGTTTTTTAAACGGAGGCTAGGATCGAAATAGTGTTCCGAAATCGTCCTGGATCGCGTAGTATTGGATCGGAGCGGTGGTTTCGATGCAAAAGCGATATTTATAGCGTGGCAACTGCCTCTACTACGGACTTTCCGGCATCGTAGCGGGCCAACAAAAATATATTCACACTTCGAATATCTCACGGAATAAAGGCGTCTTATATGTATTATTTCTCACGAAATTACACATGCACGTATATACACGTGTATATCGCGTGTATATCGACTTTCAAATTTTCCTCGATCGTTTCCATTTAACGAAGCAATCGTGATGCTTGTTATTAGAATTTTCATCAACGGTGTAAATTCAAACAACGATAGTGATAGATTAACAATCAGAGACTTAAAAGACACAGAGACAATTCGTTCAATGAACGAACGAACGAACAAATTGTCTTTTGACAAATGATTTATGTTTTACGATTACGCGTAGATAACTTCGTATTAAATGTGAATCTAATCTATATGTTTCTCATAGATTGAAATGTACTATTTGAAGTACATGTTGAAACGGAATGCGGAAATAATGAATTAACTTCGACAAATATTCTGTCATCTCACCCGGAATAATTCAACTATAAGTTATTGAATTTCAAACTGGTTTTCGATTTATTTCAGAACGGACAACGCGCAACTTGCCAAATGCGATCATCTGCCCTGCTCTTTGAAATCTAATAATTTACACAGGTGTTTACACAGTATGTGTTACATATGTGCGTAAATTCATTACACGAGAAATGACAATACAAACTGTGAGGAAAATTCAATAAAGCTATCTTTATAGATCGTGTACAGATGATAAAATACCGATGAAAAAAAAAATACTACATTTTGAGAAGTAAGAAAAGATAATACGAAAGATTCGTAAAATTTCAAATATGTTCAACAGAATATATTCAACAAATATATTAAAGATGCACGATTCTCGTTTTTCTTGAAATACATGGTATGTTGTATTTACGAGTCAATGAACTTCTCTTTAAACTAAGCAGGCGGCGTTTACATTTTCAAATTTAGGAAGCGCTAAAACGCAGTTTCGCTTTAGAGAATCGAAGATCGAAATCGCAGTCTCCTCTGTCGTTGTCTTCACCAAACGAATTACTGTATTCGATATCTTTTCAAAATACACTTTTTAAGATAGAAAGATCGAGCAGAGATCTCGAGGCCTGCTGTTCAAACAGTTGGCCATACGTATTTACGTGCCTCGTTGATTCAATTTTGTTATAAAATAAAAATTCGAATTTAAGAATACGAATAGAATTTACAAAATTCTTAAGAATTAATTAGAATGAAAGTTATTCTGAAAGGACAATGCAACTCTCGACGCAATGGTGCAACTCTTGAGAGTTTTAATTTTAAAACGGATTTGCACGATTTGCTTGCTCTTGAATGAATTCGTGCTATAAACTGTGTTCTATTCAAAATACCTGCGACAAATAGGCTCTCTCCTCGCGAACTTCATCGAGGTGTTCGTGTGGCAAGTAAAGGTGATCCGGTGAAGATGTGGGCCGATTGTATTCGTCGATGGAAGGCGGTGGTACAGGACTTTTCGGTAATTCCGGTGGTAATTTCCGTTGTTTGGCTCTATATCGAAATAGGAAAGCATTTTACTTAACTTAATTAATGCAAAAAGAATTCTCAAGAATCTCACGAGAGCCTTGATGATATTTTCGACGATCATTTTCAATCATCTGCGTTATTGCACAGGAAATAGCTTACATTATTCAACATTAATGTAGCATGCATACGTAGCGAAAATGACGATTAGAAGCGTGAAAGCTAATCGAAGCTTGTATTAAAAGTAATAATTTAAAGCTACTGTTTTTTTTATTTTATTCTTTAACTTTTGAACGGTATATCAACTTTTTAAATATTTTGATTTTATTTGAATTTTTTTTCCAAATAAAATATTTGGAGTAAGAAAAGAAAATGATCGTCGAATTAACGATGATATTTCTTGATGTGGTGAGCTGTCAATCAGGCGCTGCGATTAAAGCATATTAAAAAAAAAAAAAAAAAATTGGAAAAAAGATCTAAATAGAAAGCGTTAATAATCAATTTTTACGTAGCGATAATAGCATAGCGATAGTGATGCTATAAATCGAGCGCATAATAACAAAGGTGGAATTGCTTTCTGACAGACTAGTGACCGCAGCCCTGTCGCCAGTGTTCGACTCGAAAATCGAAGATGACGTGGTAATGTTGATACGAGATGCTTTCGACGGCTCAGACCTTTCGATCACGAGCCTTATTGATTCAGAGTTTTGAAGAAGATTCTGGGCGTCTACATGCCTCACATCTCGCGCGTCGTAATCATCAATTTTCTTGATCACATCACCCCTTTGGAGCGTCTCGTTCTCCGACTGTAAATAAAAAAATTTCATTGTAAGATAACTATCCCATCAGTGATTTTCAAAAACGTTTGTTATCGTACAAGTAAAAGAAAATTCTATTTTCGAGATATCATCACGAACATACGTTATATGTTAACATAGCATAAACGTTAATTTTTATTAGCTGTGTTACCAAGGAAATATTGTAAGCTAATTTCAGAAACACAAATATTGTAAACATTAATTTTTAATTTATTGTGGAAAAAATGTATGAGCTTTTTTTTATTTAACCAGAACCGTATAACCACGTAATAAAATAATATGGAATTATGGTTGAATGATAGAAACATTTGGACCATGTTCAAATGTGTCTATGATTTCTCTTTATTGCATTTAATAATCATGCCAGAGAGAATGCCAGTCGAGGATCGAAAAGATGCACGAGATTAGGTCACACGTGTTGGCTAGATATGATCACGATTTAACGATTATATGCATATGATATGATAAAATTTGCAAGTTTTTTTTAAAGCGTTTGTTTAAAAAAACGTGACAATGCAATATTAATTTTTGAATAAAACGGAAATCTGTTTATATTCATGTATATTGAATACGTATATAAGCAGGAGTTTGTGCACATTAAAGAATAAATATCTATTCTCTGCAGTTTTCTCTTTTTTTCTTTTTTTTGTCATACATAGATAAAGATTTGCCATATGTCCAATAATATTTATAGGCAGCAGGCTATTCGCCTCCAATAATAGTAGATACATGTATTAAGCAGAATTGCTTGTTCAAAAATGAGATGAAAGGAAAACTCACGCGGGTGACGACGATCGGCGTACCCAAATCAGCGCCTCCGGCGATACGTATTCCCCAAGGTTTGCCGGTGCTGGATCTCTTAAGCTTCACGATTATTGTTTGTTTCCTCGTCATGCTCTATTCTGTCTATCAGAACAACGCAATCCCTTGTTTATAAAGAAATCAAAAAAAGGCCAATTTGTTAGGTTGAAAATTGGAAATAAGATAGGAGCGAGAAAAATCTGAGAAAATTTTTAAAAAAAATTTCTAAACAACTTTTCTCTTGATTGATAAAGAGAAATCAAACTGCGAAATCGATGATAAAAGTTGAAATGATATGAATTTACGACGAGTCGAAGCAATATCGAACCCGTGCTTACGCTCTTTACTGGCAAACGAGAACTACTGGCTGCACTGCCACTTGATTTTGACAGGGTTTACTTCTGCGAGCTTAGTTACCCAACTACCGGTCCGCCGCTTCTGCTATTCTGGCCCCATTTCGAATTGGCATACCGTATGTATTGTTCTGGTCCGACCTGCACTCATTTCTCTGGCATTTACGGCCTCCCTATCTTTGCTATGCACATTGATAGGACCAATGATCTCGCATAAAATCGTATATACGTATCGTACGATTAAAATTCATAATAAATTTTTACCATGATCATCGCACTTTCAAACGGCAATCTTGATTTTATGAAAGTGAATTTTCAAACGATGCGACGAATGAAGGTAACTTAGAAATTTGTTACACATATAGAAATACTTCAATCATACGACGTACGACTCTATATCAGGAATCAGGAATTTCTGACGAACACTAAATAAATATGTAGAATTAAACATAAATCGTTTTATTAATACATTCAGAAACGTCAATAAGTTCTTTTCTTCAAATTCACGAAGGAAAAATACACCCGTGGATAACACAATACTATAATGTAGAAAAAGAACAATGCAGGATAAAGCATGTACTATGTATATATTGATACTCAGATTATATTATCAATAATATACAAAGGGAGATAAATAAAAAAAGAAAATTTTAGAATTTGATGAAGAACTTGTTGCATACTCACATAAGTTTCGTAAAAGTTGCTTATGGAGAACTTAAGAGACATTTTTTTCGTTTTACAGAATTCTCAACACTGCACTTTCTTCTTTTTTCACAATAACATGTGCGAATACTTCCTCTTCTTCGAAACCTTCTCTTCCCTATGTAGCTTCGATCTAATTACTTTGACTGCACTGTGATTAATGAAACTAAATCAAGAAAGAAATAAGAAAAGAGAGTATATAAACTAAACTGAGAGAAAGAGAGTGTACGTAAGTTTGACTTAAATTAGCAACCTATAGCGCGAAAGGTTAGTCAATCATAGTTTTAAGATAGTGTCGTTCTAGTGACTCATTTATCTCAATTTATACAATTCTAAAAAAAAAATATACATATCAAAGTGATGTGTAAATAGGCAATATTAATTATATATTATTTGTTTGTCAATAGCAATAGTATTGCTAATCCGTTAAAAATAAACATGAATATTTATAGTAATCAACTGAAAATTTTTAAAAATTTTAAATGATAATGTTATGATAAGGAATAAAATAATATATATCATAAAATTAATATATATTTTTATTTTTGATTTTTAAAAAAGAAAAATTGTATATATTATACAATATATATTATACAATATTATTATATATATATTTTAAACAAATTATTTAAATTATAATATTTTTAAGAGATTCAAATTAATAGTATTTTTATTTATGAATATTCTTCGCTAATCGCTCTACTAATTACCATTCGACGAATCTCACTGGTACCAGCACCAATTTCATATAATTTTGCATCCCTTAATAATCTTCCAGTAGGATAATCATTTATATAGCCATTTCCACCTACAAAAATTATGTAGATTTAAAGAAATATTTAAAAGCAATAAATTCTTGTCAAAGATAGATAAATAATTTACCTAGTATTTGAATTGCGTCCAACGCAGCATTGGTAGCGCATTCAGCAATGTAAAGTATCACCGCGGCACAATCTTTTCGATTTATATATCCTGCATCACAAGATCTAGCTACAGAATACAAATAATTTCTACAAGCACTTAAACTCGTATGCATATTTGCAATTTTCTCCTAAAATATTAATATCATTTTTAAATATTTAAAAGTTTTAGATACATAAAAAAAAAAATTAACACACCTGTATCATTTGAAATTCTGCTATACGTTTTTCAAATTGCTTTCTCACATGTGCATATTCAAATGCAACGTCGCAACAAGCTTGAATAATTCTATTGTAATTGTAAAATATATCAAAATATATATCAAAATAAATTTGTAAAACTTAATATAGTTAAAAAACTTACCCTAAAGGACCTGCGGCTAACATTACACGTTCCAAATCTAGACCACTAAATAACACATAAATACCTTTGTTTACTTGTCCAAGTATATTTTTAACTATAATTAATAATAATGGTATATAGAACAGAGCATAAGAATAACGTCAAAGTTATTATTCAATTTATAAAGACAATATTACCTGGAACTTTACAATCTTGAAATACAAGTTCACCAGTGTTAGAACCTCGCATACCTAATTTATCTAATTTTTGAGCTATACTAAAACCTTCGAAATCTCGTTCTACGATAAATGCCGTAATACCATGTTGCTGTTTAATCGCATTTGGATTCGTTTTTGCGTAAACGATAAGAGTATCAGCATCAGGACCATTTGTAATCCAAAATTTATGACCGTTTAAAATATAATAATCACTCTTTTTTTCAGCTCGCAATTTCATAGAAACTACGTCGGATCCGGATGTAGATTCTGACATCGCAAGCGCTCCGATATGTTCTCCGCTACATAACTATATAAAATTCAAATATATTATATGTTATATATATATATACGGCAAAATAGTTATCAAATTTATATTTGCATATTACTTTTGGCAAATATTTATGCTTTTGTTCTTCTGTCCCATTTCTGTGGATTTGATTTACACATAAATTTGAATGTACGCCATAACTAAGACCTATAGCTGCGGATGCCCTACTCAATTCCTCTATAACAATGACATTATCTAAATACGTACCACCTGTACCACCGTATTCAGATTTTGCAGTTATTCCTAATAAACCTAACTTGCCGAGTTTCTTCCAGAACTCCTAAAAATAATAAATGTAGCCAAAATAATATTTTATTCTTTTTAAAATTCCGTTACTTACTCGGAGTTCATCAAAATTATTCTTCTTGTCAATTTCAGCCGCTTTTGGAGCAAGTTCTTTTTGAGCAAAATTAAATATTAATTGTCGTAGCTATAAAAAAAAAAAAATAACATGTTTTTTCTTTATTAATATTCAATTAATATATTCTTTATTAATATATCAATTTAATATCATGATTGAGGTAAATGAAAAAAAATTGAACTTCATTCATTAAGATATCGATTAAGATTTAAATCGATATTATTAAAATATTTGTATTGAATATAAAGTTCAGTGTTATAATAAACCAATCAGAATATAATCTATTCAATTCTATTATAATTTTACTAACCTCTTTCTGTTGTTCATTTAATCCAAAAATATTATCATCTATTTTGTAATATTGGGAAAAATATCTTATATTAAATATTTTATTCGATATTGAAATTTTTATTAAAAGTGATTTCGTAAATTTATTAATAAAAAATTTCATATTTTTATATTATTCCAAAATTTTATATAGAATTAATATATACTTATAAGAGTATATGTACAAAATCGTAATTATCTTACATTTAATCAGTGGTGTAACATTACTTATGCATCAAAATAATCATATTTATATCTATTTAAATAAAATAAATTTTTTAACATATTATTTTAATATTTAATCTTTTTTATTAATACTACTGAAATATTGATATAAATCCCTCGTATTATTTAATTTTAATATAATTAAATTGATGATAGATTTTATAAAATAATTCATTATAAATAATGTAATATGCTATAATATATTTCTTACTTAAGTATGTACATACTATATTCATATTATCTTTTGATCATATGTTTACATCAAATTTATTCAATTTTCATATTTATATATTATATATTAATATAATATATATATTATATATATAAATATTGTCTTCTTGTATTTATTTTTCACATGTAATTAATAATAATTTTTAATAATTTATTGTGTGTTACATTTTCAATACTATTACGGAAATAGTTCGATTAAATATAGGTTAAAAGAATACAGTAAAAAAATTATCTTTTTTATCAAGATTTTTTAATATATTGAATATTATAATTTTATACTTTTCATAAATATAAAAATGGGAGAAATGAAAATTAATGTTCACAATCGTATTAAATCGGAAGAAAAATTTAATAAAGTAGTGAAACACATTCAGGTATGAAAAAAGGTTATATCAACTTTATTATAAAATAATTAATAATAATAAAATCACATATTTACAGGATAAATGGAAACTCGTACCTGCTTTTCTTAAGGGAAAAGGTCTCGTTAAGCAACATATTGATTCTTTTAATTATTTTATAAATGTGGAAATAAAAAAAATTGTAAAAGCAAATGAAAAAGTGCTTAGTGATGCTGATCCTTTATTTTATGTAAAGTAAGTAATATTATCAATATATTATATTATTATATTATCAATTATATATCATGTGACATATTTTTTTAAAGATATTTAAATGTTCATGTTGGTTTACCTGATGTTGAAGAAGGTTTTAATGTAACACGTTCTACTACACCACATGAATGTCGTTTAAGGGATTTAAATTATTCTGCTCCAATTACAGTTGATATTGAATATATTAGAGGTCATCAACCAATAATTAAAAATAATTTACTGATTGGAAGGTATAAATTAGAAATTTGAAAATAATAATAATTATCAATTATTAATATTAAAAGAATTTTTTTTTTTAGGATGCCTATTATGCTAAGAAGTTCAAATTGTGTATTAACTGGCAAATCTCATTTTGAATTAGCAAAGATGAATGAATGTCCTCATGATCCTGGCGGTTATTTTATAGTGAATGGACAAGAAAAAGTAATTTTGATACAAGAACAAATGCTTAGAAATAGAATTATTCTTGAAGAAGATAGTAAGGGATGTATTGTCGCATCTTGTAATAGTGTTACTCATGAAAGGAAAACAAAAACTAACATAGTAGGCAGAGCTGGAAGATATTATATGAGACATAATATTTTTCAAGATGTAAGTAAACTTTAATTATGAAATAAAATTTTGATTATATTTTATAAAATATGACTGTATTATTAGGATATACCTGTGACAATAATATTTAAAGCAATGGGAATTGTAAGTGATCAAGAAATTATGCAACTTATTGGTACAGAAGAAGAATTTATGAAAAAATTTGCACCAAGTTTAGAAGAATGTCATGTTTTAAATGTATTTGCTCAAAATCAGGCATTAAGGTATTAGTTTAGTTTAAGAATTAATAATAATAATATTAATATTATAAATATTAATTTCAAATTGTTTAGATTTCTCAGTAATAAAAGAAAACAAAAAAGATATTCAGTCATAAAATCTAGTATTACAGATGAAATGAAAGATGCATTAGCAACTAATATTTTATCACATGTTCCTGTAGGTAATTTAAAAATAATAATTATTAAACATTGGTTAATTATTACAAATAATATTGTTAATATCTATTACAGGTCATAGATTTTAATTTTAAAATGAAAGCAACTTATATTGCTTTAATGATTCGTAAAGTTATGAAAGCACAATCCGATGGAAAACTTGTAGATGATAGAGATTATTATGGTAATAAACGATTGGAATTGGCTGGTTCTTTGCTATCTTTGATGTTTGAAGACTTATTTAAAAGATTTAATTGGGAGGTAATACAATATATAACAATACATTAAATAATTCTATTAAAGTTTATAATTATAAAGTATATAATATAAATTATATATTATAAGTTTATAATTTTTGACATTATATTTACAGTTAAAACAAATAGCTGATAAAAATATACCAAAAATTAAAGCTGCACAATTTGACATTGTAAAACATATGAGACAAGATCAAATTACTAATGGATTAGCTTTTGCCATATCATCTGTGAGTAGATAAAATATAAAACACACAGAAATTTTTAAATATTTGAATTAAAAAAGTTTTATTCAATAGGGTAATTGGACGATTAAACGATTTAAAATGGAACGACATGGCGTTACTCAAGTTTTATCTAGACTTTCTTATATTTCGGCACTTGGAATGATGACTCGAGTTAATTCGCAATTTGAAAAAACTAGAAAAGTATCTGGTCCTCGATCTTTGCAACCATCTCAATGGGGAATGTTATGTCCTAGTGATACACCTGAAGGAGAAGTTAGCATTACATATATATATATTTCAATGAAAATTATATTATTTAATACTGCTTACATAAAATTTTTGTAGGGATGTGGTTTAGTTAAAAACTTAGCCCTTATGACACATATTACTACAGAAATTGATGAAGAACCAATTATTAGATTGGCTTTTAATTTAGGAGTAGAAAATGTTAATATACTTGGCGGTGAAGAAATTAATAATAAACACGTTTACATGGTTTTTTTAAATGGTAATATTTTAGGTATAGTAAAAAATTATCAGAGATTAGTAAATGTTTTTAGATTACTACGAAGGAAAGGCTTAATAAATGGTTTTGTTTCTATATATACTCAGCATCAACATAGGTAATAATCCTATTATCCAAAAATTATTAAATTATATTAATAATTATTATATTATATTATAGTATATTAGTATAATTATATTATAGTAATTATACATGATATTAAAGTTTTTCTAAATAATTTCTATTTTATAATAATTTTTTATTTATAGATGTATTCAAATTAGTTCTGATGGAGGACGATTATGTAGACCATATATTATTGTACAGAATGGTGATCCTCTTGTACAAGAAGAGCATGTAAAATTACTTGAACAAGGAATACGAAGTTTTGAAGATTTTTTACAAGATGGTTAGTATATGGTTAAAAATAAAATTATGAAATCTTATCATATGTGTTTAATAATATTTTTATATTATTATTAGGTTTAATTGAATATTTGGATGTTAACGAAGAAAATGATAGTTCTATTGCATTTAATGAATCACATATTAATGAAAAAACAACGCATTTAGAAATTGAACCATTTACATTACTTGGAGTTTGTGCTGGTTTAGTACCATATCCGCATCATAATCAAAGTCCAAGAAATACTTATCAATGTGCTATGGGAAAACAAGCAATGGGAACAATTGGTTATAATCAACGTAATCGTATCGATACATTAATGTATAATTTAGTTTATCCTCAAACACCTATGGTGAAATCCCGAACAATAGAACTAATAAATTTTGATAAATTACCTGCTGGACAAAATGCAACAATAGCCGTTATGTCTTATAGTGGTTACGATATTGAAGATGCTCTTATTTTAAACAAAGCTTCAATTGATAGGGGATTTGGAAGATGTTTGGTATATAGAAATGCAAAATGTACGTTAAAAAGATATGCGAATCAAACTTATGATCGAATAATGGGCCCATTGATTGATGCTAATACAAAGAAATCTGTTTGGAAACATGAAATAATCGATAGTGATGGAATTGCTGCTCCTGGAGAAATGGTGGAAAATCGAAAGGTTTTTAAATACTAGGATAAACAATCTAGGACCAATTATGTAAATAAATAATAAAATAATTAAATCGTATTTAATTTTCTCTTATAGGTAATGGTAAATAAATCATCACCAGCTGCAAACATTGGTCCAGTAAATTCTGGTAATGTTCAAACACAAACGGAATATAAAGATGTTCCAGTTGTTTTTAAAGGTCCAGTTCCTGCTTATATTGAAAAAGTTATGATTTCTAGTAATGCAGAAGATGCATTTTTGATTAAATTATTATTAAGACAAACTCGGAGACCTGAAATAGGTGATAAATTTAGTAGTCGACATGGTCAGAAAGGTGTAGTTGGTATGTATTTTCATATATTTTGTCATTTAATTTTGCAGAATTTATTATTTATATTTTTATTATTAGGATTAATTGTAGAACAAGAGGATATGCCATTTAATGATTATGGTATATGTCCTGATATGATTATGAATCCACATGGATTTCCTTCACGTATGACAGTTGGAAAATTGATCGAACTGCTTGCTGGAAAAGCAGGTGTTATAAAAGGAGAATTTCATTATGGCACAGGTATATCTATAATAAATTATTGTTTTAATAATTCTTAAAATTTATAATATTTATTTTTATTTAGCATTTGGAGGTTCAAAAGTTGAAGATGTTTGTACAGAATTAGTAAAACATGGTTTTAATTACTTGGGCAAGGATTTCTTTTATTCTGGTATTACAGGAGAACCTTTACAAGCATATATCTATTCTGGACCAGTAAGTTAATAATTTTTAATCTTAAAAATCTAATATTAAATATTATTATAAGAGTATAATTCAAAATATAGGTATATTATCAAAAATTGAAACATATGGTACAAGATAAAATGCATGCTCGTGCTCGAGGACCGAGAGCTGTATTAACGCGTCAACCAACGGGAGGTCGAGCCAAGGAAGGTGGTTTAAGATTAGGTGAAATGGAACGAGATTGCTTAATTGGATATGGTGCTAGTATGATGTTGATAGAAAGACTCATGATATCTAGTGATGCATTTGATATCGATGTATGCAACAAATGTGGTTTGATGGCATATAGTGGTTGGTGCCATAGTTGCCGTTCTAGCTCTTGTGTTTCTACAATTTCTATGCCTTATGCTTGCAAATTACTTTTTCAAGAACTTCAATCTATGAACATAGTACCTCGTTTAACATTAAAAAATTATTGTGACTAATTTGAAATAATTTAGAATTATTAAGATTCATTGTAAATATATTATATAGTATTATATATATGGTATTTATTAATTTTTTAAAAATATTAGTAAAAGTCTAAAATCTCTTTATTTGATAATATATATAATTTTATTATTTATAAAAATATATGTATTAACTTTTTTGTATTGGAAGACAGTAAAACATTTTTATAATTGATAAAATTATTTATCAATTATTGTATATATTATTATATGTATATATTGTAATTTATAATAAACAAAATCAATTAATTAATTATTTCATATTTTTAACTAATGCATAGCATAATATAACATATTAATGTAACATATTACATACATGTTACATATTAATGTAACATTATTAAATTAAATATTATTGATTTTCAGCAATATGCACATATATTATTATTAATTTTTTTATAATATAAGTGGTTCAGCAAAAAAATTAATTTCTGGATTTTCAATGCAATTCTTGTTTTGTATTAAACGTAATTCAATTCTTCTTGCAGGCTCATATTCTTTATCTTGACATGCTAATAATAAAAATTTCAAAAATTATTATTAACTTCTATACATAAATATATATCTTTATCTATATATAGAGAGAGATAAGTAGTATGAATAAATACCTTGAGAATATTCATAAGTTTTGAGTAAGATGTTATATAAACTATTTACAGTTTTTTCAATAGCAATTTTCATATCATCTTGTAAATATGTATGAGCTAAAAATAGAGCAGCAAAAAGATCTCCAGAACCTGTGAATGTACTTGGTATTTTTGGAATATCAATTTTTATTAATTTATTATCTGAAATTAAAATGAATTTTATATATTTTCTAGGTCTTTATTTATTTTAAATATCAATTATTTCATTACCTTTGTTTGTGCTAATTATTGTTGTTAATTTATTATCAAGTTCTGTTGATGAAACTGCTACTGTTTGAGGACCCATTTTATGTACTTTTTTTATAGCATTTTCTAAATCAGACATTGTATTGATCTTTATATTACTTAATAATCTAAAATAATTAATATGATATTATAAATTTAATTTATATATATATATATTTATATATATATAATGTAAAATATATAAATATTGACATATAAATATTAAACTTACTCTAATTCAAATTGATTTGGTACTACAATATCTGCTAATGATATTATTTCTTTTCTATAAATTTCTTCCAATGTTTCAGGAACATATAATTTTCCATTATCACCCATAACAGGATCACACACTTGTATATAAATATAAAGATTAATATAAAATTATATTTTTAATGTAAATTTTAATTATATTCTCAATAAAATTATTTACCATATATAAGATTAGGATTTTTATGTTTTAACATACGAACAACTTCTGCTATTTTTCTTAAGAATGATGCAGAACCAACATATCCAGTAAGTAAATGTGTATAATTAATTAAATTATTTTTTGCTAATCCATCTATTAAATCTTCTAAAAATATAATTATCAATAATTTACATTGATTTTATTTATAGTGTTTAGAATACTTTCTTTATCTTACCTAAATCTTTATCATTCAATACTTGACCTCGAAAAATATTGTATCCAGTATGATTAGAAAGTTGAACAGAATTAATTGCATCTGCCTCAAAGCCCAACAACTAAAGAAAGAAATTATTATTTTAATATTGTTAATTATAGAAAAAATTATATTATAAATGACATGATAATGGAAGCTATTTTATTTTTCTAAAATAATCTAATCTATTCCTAAAATAATCTTTTAAAAAATTTCATTTTAAATTTTTGCATTGAAATCTTTTAAAAATGATAATCATATTTATTGTATTATTGTATTGTATTAACAAAGCAGCATAATTTAATTTATATTATATTACTTTTAATATGTAAAATTATTAAATAATAATATAACATAATTAAAACTATCTATCTAAACTAACCAAAATTATCTATCAATCAAAATTTGATAGAATTTATAACTAATAAGATGATAACAAATGATGAATTTTATAATGAACATATTGTTCACCTGCAAAGGAAATATTGCACTTTTATTACCAACGTAACCAGACACTACATGACTTTGTATCGAAAGAATCCGTGGTGTTTCTGACATATTGATCAGCTGATATTAAAAATATTTAATTCACAAAATAACGAAAATATTGTCGTATAAAATTTAACGACGGAATTTTTCTAGTACACACCTTATTATATAGATTGTTTCAAATGTGTATAATTTTCATTCATATCTTTTATGACGCAATTTCTTTAATGTTATTATTACATACTTTATTGTATAGATTGTTTCAAACACATGAAATACATTTTATTATCTTTTATTGTTTTATTATTACAAAATTTTTTTTCTTAAAAAATTTTTTTTCAATATTTGAAAATTTTAATATAAATCACTAATATAATATTCAATGTATTTATTTCTTTATAATACGACTTGAAAACTTTACAATTCTACAGATATTTTCAATTTCAATTTCAATATTATTAATTTATTGAAATAAGATTATTATTAATAATATTGGAATTGAAATTAAGTGAAAATTATTATATTATATATATTTAATTATAAAAAATAAAATATATAAAAAATAAAATCATTTCTTCAGAATAAATCGATAATAGGAAAAAATAAAAGAAAAAATAATTTATTATAATCATAGATGAGATACAGAATAGAAAATAATCAAATTAATTAGATATGGAAGCCTTCTTTTGTGTACATTAACTTTATAGAGCAAGTAGAAAAAAAATAGGAATTTGCCGAAACATGAGATGAAAAAGTTTTTGAAATTAACATCATATTTGGATATTTGAAGCTTATATATTATTAACATATATTATTAATATACCAGAATGTGCAAGGAAGTATTTAAAATTACATATAAGAAAAGCAACATTGTGCGAAAAAAATAGAGAGCATATCCTGCCAAGATGTCGTATAAAAAATTTATCAATTACTCGTTTTCTATTCAAAATTTCAGAATTTTTGAATAGCTTTTGAATTTATATTTTGAAGCTAAAACTTCAGGCAAGTTTTTTATAAAAATTTTATAATATAAAATTCTTTTCCATTAATTACTTATTAATGATTATTATGGTATATGTCGCAAAGTTCTATAATGCAAAAATATTTAATCAGTTTTTTTTTCATTTGAATCACAAAATTACAAAATAAAATTTATGCGTAAAAAAGATAAAGAAAGAATTAATATTTTAAATGCATATAATAAATTTTATTATATTTAGAAATAAATTCTATAATAATGAAAAATGAATAAAAAAATATATCATTGATGATGATTTAATCATTAATAAACAATTAATTAAAAAAAATCTTATATTAAAATTAATATGAGAAATTTACCTGAAGCTTTAGTTTGAAAATATAAGTTAAAAAAATTTAAATTTAAAAATGTAAAAATTTTGATTAGAAAACATAAATAATGTTTTTATTAATTAATTTTCCATGTGACATTTTTAAATTTTTTATCCTTTTCGCACAATATTGCTTTCCTTATCTGTAACTTCGAATATCTCCTTATATATTCTGCTATACTAATAACAAATCAACAAAAAAAACAAAAATGAATTTTAAAACATTTTATTCAAAATTAAGTTAATTATTCAAAATTAAATATCTATTTATCGAATTTATTTTTTTAATTTTTAAATCATCTTTAAAATATCCAATTAATGATCTATTTTTTATTTATAATATCGACATTTAGTTTTAGTTCCAACCATTATTAACGTTGTAATCTTCTTCTCAGCTGAATCGGTAATGTTGAAAATGATACTAAAATGATAAGAGTCCTGAGAGAGGCATGAAAACAAAAAAATATATTGAATGTTAGATCTATTCTATATCTTGTCTGTGATATACCGATTAAATAGCATCGAAAAATTAGTATAGCATTTCTAGTGACGCATCTATTTTAATCTTATTTCATGATTTGTTTGTACAGCTTAAAAAAGTATGGCGACGTGGAAAGGTGAAAAATTTCAAGAAATCGGGAATGCCGATGATATTGAAGAAAATTTTGATATCCTTGTGACGCATGATCTTCAAGATTGTTTAGATGATAGTTTAGACATAACCAATTTTGGAAAAGTGTATGAACAAAATACTGTATTTGATTATGAAAAATATTCTGATGACGATGCTCCTATCGACGAAAAACTATCTAATGATAATTCCACGGAGTAAGATCACATAAATTTTTTATTTTCTTTTATTAGACATGATATAAATTTCTTATGATTTAAATATATATGAAAAATGAGAAATCAATAAATAAAATATAAATTATTCATAACCTGTTTATTTGTAATAACAAAAAATTATGTGACATCCTTATAAGGATATAACATTTTGAAGTTAGACTTTTAATTTTCAATATTAAATTTTTCACATATATACGATTATCAAATGTTAATATCTTATTTATTATAATGATATCATTTTAATCAAATATATCATTTAATTTAAATTTAATTCTACATTTGATATATGTGATCTTTTTTTTTTAATTTTAATTCAGGATATTTTTTTATTATGTTTTTATATTTAATAATTATATTAATATAACATAATAAAACATTTCAATAATTTTGTTTATCTTAATGTTTTACAATAAATATAATAATATACATAATATATATTCATATATATATATTATTATTTATATGATATATATACATATATCATATATTATTATAGGTCAATACATCATTCAATTAGTCCTCATGAAATTTATATGCGAATTCATTCTGATCAAGATGATATTTCAAACAAATCTGCATATGCAAATAATATAATTGAAAGTACTGTTTTGGATATAAATCAAAAACATATTGGTCGATATATTTGTGAATATGAAGGTTGTAATAGAACTTATAGTACAGTTGGAAATCTACGTACTCACATGAAAACACATAAAGGTAAAAAAAGATTTTATATATATCTTAATTTAAAAAGAGCAAATATAAATTTTTCATAAATTCTATCTATCATAGAATGTTAATTTTATTAATTTTATATTAATAAAAAATATTGAATGCTTTTATGTTACTAATATGTAAAGTGCTTTTTATTTAATTATAATTAAAAATTAATAGCATACTAACAATTTTGTTCTTATAATTATTTATAATAATTTAAAAAATATTAATATTAATGTCTTATAAATTTTAAAAATTATTATATTTTATTTGTATGATGAAGTAAAGATATTATGTGCTTTGCATGTTACATTATAATGTATCATATTAATTTCTTTTTCTCTTTTTGTGCTTGCTAAGGAAAATAAGGTAAGCTTAAGAAAAATTATTAATTGGTGTTATATTTCTTGTTATTAATACATAAGAACATATAAAATCTGTTGATGCCTTATAAATTTTTTATGTACACTTTTATTTGTTATAAAATTATCAATGCTGGTATAAAGGGAACGCTTCGACCTGCATGGCTTTCAGATACTGCAAGCAATAGGTAGTCCAGCAAACTTTTTATGTGGAGGGAATTCTCAAAACTTTCAGGCGAGTATCGATTTAAATGTGCAGAACCAAGTTGTGGCAAGGCATTTCTTACATCGTACAGCCTTAAGATTCATATTAGAGTACATACAAAAGTGAAACCATTTGAATGCAATCACAAAGGCTGTGAAAAAGCATTCAATACTCTTTACAGACTGAGAGCTCACCAAAGACTACACAGTGGTAACACCTTTAATTGTGAAGAGACTGGATGTGTTAAATTTTTCACTACTTTAAGTGATCTCAAGAAACATATTCGTACTCATACTCAAGAAAGACCTTACAAGTATGTTTTTTTGATATTTTTTTAATTGATTTTTATTCACAGCTTTGTGCTTAATTATGCTTTGGTATTTTATTTTCCTTATTTTTAAAACATATGTAATAATAATATATGTATATTTTAAACAAATAGAAAATATACATAAGTATAAAGAATATATGTATATACATAAATTTAACAATAAAAAATAAATAACCACTATTGAATTCTTGATGTATAATATTAACATTGAAACTAATACTTTAAATATATTTTAAAATATACTATCCAATTTTTACATTTCTTTTTATGTTATCAAATCAAAATTATGCAATGACTTATGAATTATGTATAATACATATGTATAATACATATAATAGATATAAAAAAATATTGCTTTTTTAGATGTCGAGAAAAAGGATGTGGTAAAGCCTTTACAGCGTCGCATCATTTGAAAACACATAAGAGAACTCATACCGGAGAACGACCTTATGTATGTACTATTGGAAATTGCAAACGATCTTTTACTACACCTCATAGTTTAAAGAGTCATTTGAAAACTCATAAGAGAACAAGTAATAATGATGAAATGGTATATAAAAAATTTTGGATTTATTATATTTTTTAAATGTTTGTATTATTTTATATGTAATATATTTTACAGAAACATAAAGGCAACCAAGATGACTACAGAAACCAAAGAAATAGTGAGATATTGAAAACAGAAATCGACGTTGATAAAATAACGTCAAGAAATACAAATGTGCCATGTTATGCCATTATACCATTATCTTCTAGCAATACACAAACTAAGGAAAGTATTACTTATTTATCTATAGAAAATCCAAATGATGAATCAACTTCTACAAATGAAATAATGGATATTTTAAGTCAAAACAGAATAAATAAAGAACTTGATTACAACATTACTAATAAAAATACTGAAAATTTAAATAAACCTGCAGATGTCACTCTTCTTACATCAGAAAATATTATTTTAAATAATTTTACCAAACACACAATTGATAATTTTAATAATAATGAAAGTTATGATAAATTTAAAATATTTAATGAAGTAAATGATTCGAATTTACGAGATCAAAATCAACAATATATTTCTAATTCTTCGACAGAAGTTCAAGATAGCAAAAATAATAAAAATAAATCTAATTCAATAAATTTAGAACAAAAAATTATACAAAATGGTTTACAGAACACTATTGCTCATATTTCAGAAGAACCTGATTTCACAAATAATGTACAACAATATAACAACAATAATACTATTGTCAAGGAAGCTTACGATAATGGAGCAAATGTAAACACGATTGTTGAAAATAATAACGCCACTTTGTATGATACAAATTCTGTTACTAGTCATGTATCAAATATAGTTAGTTCCTCTAATGAGATTCAACTTTTTGATAGTGAGATAGAAAATTTACCATTTATTAATGACAGTTTACAAACTGGATCTCTTAATGAAGTTGAACATGTATTGAATTCTAACATTATTACAACTACGCAATCGGAAGCTATTGAATTAGCTATAGCATCTGAAGAAGAAATACCTTCTCCTTGGATAGATGTTATGGCAATGGCAACTCCATCTGCATTGAGAAGACAGTCTTGGTCAGAATTAAATGCATTTCCAACAGCTGTTCACTCGCTAGTTGATTTAGTTGAACCAGAACCATATCCATTACAGATTGAAAATCAATTGCAGCCATTACAACAAGTAGATAATATAAATTTAGTAGATGTAGAAAATATTAATACGTGTATCGAAATTAGACGTTATCAAGAAAGCAATAATGAAAAACAAAACGAAGATAGTATAAAAGTAAAAAAGAATAGAAACATTCTGCAAGAAATTACAGCTGAAGCAGATATATGCAAATGCATTGATTGTAAATGTGATCATCAGCAAAATTGTCAAAATTGCTCAAATAATACAATTCCTGAAAATAATAAAAAGCATGTGTCATCAAAAATAGTAGACGATTTCGTGTCTTGTTTACAAAAAGAATGTTCTTGTGACAATGAGCCCGGTGGTTGTGGGTCTTGTTGTGTTGTGATTTGTTTAAAAACATTACAACAATTGCAAAAAGTATTTAGTCGTAATTGTTGTAAAAGTACTAACAGTGTAACATGTTGTAGAGAAGAATTGTTACCTCCATTAATGAAGTGTCAATTAACAAAAAACCAATGAAACAAATACTTTATTGTGTAACTAGTCATGTTAAAAGAAACAAATTTTTATATAAATATTGAATAAGAATTTGTTATTTATCATAATGTATAAAATGGTTTGCTTAGCTTTAAAATGCACATTTTCTTATAAATGTCAATTTTTTAAAATTTTGTCTAGGACAATTGAGAGTATAGGACTGTACATACCTGTACTATATTTCAAGACTTTGTTATATAGATATGATTTTTAAATGTTATATATTTTCATGTGTGTGAATATTATATATTTGTAGATTTTTTACTTATAAAATTTTTAAATGTACATCACTGTTGAATTATTTATAGAAAAAAAAAAAAAAGGATTGTATTATTGTATCATATTAGCAAGATATCATTTTAAGATAACTAATGCCAAATTTGATATTCATATATTAAATATATGAGTATGACATTTTTAATGTACAAATACTATGTATATAATATTCTTATACATAATAATAGTTGTAAGATATTTGAATTTATATTACATTGTAATTCAACAATGTTTATGAATTTATATGAAAATTAGAAAAAATTTATTAATTATTTGTGATTGTGCACGTGTATGATGTACTAAAAATATTAATAGTTAAAAAAAATAAAATATTTATTGTTTAGTAATTGTTTTGAATTTTAAAAAGTGTGAAAAATATTTGTAAATATATTATAATATTTAAAACCAAAGTATATTATTTTATATTAGACAGATATGAATTTTGAATTATTTAAAAATTAAATTAACAGTTTTCAAATTTTTACTTTCAAAGTTGTTAAAGATATTTGTTAACATAAAAATATATCTAATTATATTTTATATAAAAAAATTGCTTTAATTGAAAAAATTTTGTTAATAATTAATAAATTATATTAAAAGTTATATATTGTTATTTTTTTTCATTACATATTATTTTGTGTGATGAGGTTAGTTACATATATACATACATGTATAATGTATGTAATAATTTAGTAATTGTTTTAATATTACTATATTTTTTACATATGACATGATATATATCCTAAAAAATTTAATAATTACATAAGAATAATATTTTAACACATACTTAATGTTTGATTAATGTTTATTGTACAGCTTGCACTAGAGCTTCTGAAACTTCAATTGCAATTGTTGCTGCAGCTTTATCTTGCTCAGTTGTTGCAGATGAAAGTTCTTGTTGAGCTTTACTAAGAAGTTCTCTAATTGCTGAACTATCAAGATTTTCTACAGGATGAGCTTCTTCTGCTAAAATCTATTGAATATTTTTTCTTACAATATTTTAATAAAAAATAAGAAACTATTTAATAATTTGTTTTAACAACAATAATTTACATTGTTATTGTTGTTATTGTTATACATTGTTATTGTTATAATAGAATTGTACTAAATATATACCTGTACACTATTGTTTTCATTTATAGTAACTGTACCCGAAGAAACAAAAATTTTTTTGACTGATCCATCTTCTTCATATACTGTGACTACACCAGGTTTTAATACAGCTAAAGTAGGAACATGTTTTGGTAAAATACCAAAAGATCCAGAAAATGATGGTACATCTACTTGTTTAATTACAGATTGATCATAAAACACCTATAATAATTAATTATGAATTTATAATATTCAATAATATGTATAAACAATATATTTATTACCTGATTAGCTCCAGCAAAAGTAAATTTCATTTCATCGCTAATAGGTTTATCAGCATAAGTTCTTCTTTGATTACGAATGTATTTTAAATAAGGGCGAAGATTACGTGCAATTGTAGCCATCTTAATATGCTGTAAAAAGTTATTTGTAAAATTATATACAAGTTTTGATTTTTTATATTACAATAAATGATTACTATAAGCTGGTTACATCATAATTCGATCTACATGTGTCGCCCATCTTTTAAATCTGAACGCGTTAAAGAGACAAGGTATATGAACAAATAGTTAAGCATATTTTAGTTTTATTATTAACTATACGTTCAATAAACTCACCGTCAGTATATTCACAATACTTTATGTTATAGCAATTATTACAGATATAAGTAGAAGTTGATCACTTATTGCAAGCAGCCAGACCAAATCAAATGTATAGTACAGTACAAACGACAAAGTTTACTATTATGCTCAAACGATGGCGTTACTATAGAAATATTTCAGTAATGCCCTCTTGTTTTAAATCGATTTTATTTAAATAAGATTTATTCGAATTCGAAATTTTTCAAAATTTAATCAAATTGATTTATATAAAAAAGTTTAAGAACTTCTATTTGTAATCTAAGGATGAAATTAAATTTAAAAAAAAAATAACAAAACTTACATATTTAAATAAAATTTATATAACTTATTTGTATATTACTTACATTTCTCGTTTCATAATTTTGTAATTTATGCATAAAAAATTATAATTTTTCATTATGTGATCAGATAAATATTTGAATATTTTTAAATATACATATATTGATCTATATTATATAATATATCAATTTGATTTATAAAATTTATTTATATATAAGTAATTATTTTAATTTAATTATTTAATTTATTAATTATTGAAATAAAATAAAACCAAATTAAAAATTTATTTTTGAATAAAATTATAATATTAGAAGATATATAATAGATATTCAATAAATATTATCAACAAATATAAAATAACAATTTTATTTTAATATTTTAATTACATATTAAATTAACAATAGTTTTAATATTAAAAATATGTTTAATGTTTAATAATGTTTTAATATTAAAAAATGTGCATTTTTACTAGAATTTTCATGTAATGTATAATAATTTTCATCCATTATAAAAAATGATTACAAAATTTATAACTAATAAAGCTAACTAATAATATGCAACATTTTCGTTCTTTCTTTTGTAATATATATATATATATATGTATATTTGTACATATATCATAAAGAATTTATATTTATAAATTCTCTAAAGAGTGAACGAAAATTTTTCTATTAAACAAAACATTTAACGATGTTTGTTCAAATATTTTTAAATATTAATATCTTTTCTCGCTAATTTTTCTTATTCTAATTAAATATTTACAATCATATTTCAAACATTTTATAAAAATAATTGACATTTTGATCACAAAAGCGCTTATTATATAAACATGTCCCAATGAAAATTTACAAGATTTACAAGATTCAACTTCACAGATGACTTTGTTTACTAATATGAACTAATTGTTTTTAATATCGAAGACAGTTTTGTTCACCGATGTAAACTAAGCGAAGTAATAGTTACTGTCTTACAATATAGTATTTGACGTGTCTGTTAAACGTCAACTCCATCGGACGAGGTATCCGAAGTCTGCTCCTGATTTTCTTGATGTCTCGATTTTAGATGTCTCTCAAGATCTCTTCGCCTAACTAAAACTTTTCCGCATAAGTCACATCTATAAGGTGTCTCACCGTCTGCATGCAATCGAACATGTTTATTCAAATTGCTAGGATCTCCAAAAGGTCGCAAACAATATTTGCACTTTAATGGTTTATAACCGGTATGAGTTCTGTAAACGAAAAAGATACAAAATTTATTATCATTTTTTTTTTTTTTGGTGAACTTTTTACAAATAAATTTTTCGAAAAATATTTACGAAAGAGAACGAAATTAAAATATTCGTTCGACAAAAAGAGCAGAGCATTTTGTTATTAATCAACGTATAATTTCAAATTGATTAAATAAATAAGATAAAAAGTTTAAAAACACTTACCTAATGTGGATTTTTAGGCCATATTTTCTCGAGTAAACTTTTCCACAATAAATACAAAGATGCCCTTGCTTTGATTTCCCAAGATTGCTAACTATCGTTTCCATTTGCGCTGCGTGAACATCAGCACTGATCGATGCGGAGCTCGTTTGAACATTGTACGACGTTAAAACATTATCGGCTCTCGTTAAGGGGCACACATTTGCGAACATGTTGTTTTGATTTGTGTATGGTTTGAACGCAGATTGACGATAGGGCAGTACATCTTTGCCTGTGGGAGAGACTCGAATCGACGAGTTCGGAGAAATTTGCATGGAACTTGGGGAAAACGGGTTCGAGGATGATGGAGAAGGTTGTTGTGATGATTCTGATGAATTGTTATTAGGAGGAATAACATTGCTATCCATAGTCTCTACTAAGATTGGCGATATTCTGGTGGACGAGGGTTCTGGCGATCTTGTTAGTTTGAATCTGAAAGTCGACTGAGGAAACAAGCTGAGAGCCAAGCTTGGTCTCGGCGATAAGGTATACTCTTTCGTCAGAACAGACCATAGATGATTAGTGTCCAGTCGATTGCACTTTAGGGCTAGATGAATTTTCAAAGGATTGGGATATTCGAACAGCTTGTTGCATATGTGACAGATGTAGCGATTTTGGCCTGAAATCACATACACAGTGTTTTATTTAATTAAAGCTTGTACGAGAATTGTGAATTTGATGAATTTTCCGAAGCAAGCAATTGTATTGTGTTTTTATTATTTAAATGTTTACCTTGGATGTTGGAGGGGGTTAAGAAAGGGATGTTGAGCATCGCTAAAATATTTTCTGTAAACCACATAAGCAAAGGTTCGCCAGGAGTTACATTTCTTATCGTTTTCAACACTACACCATTGTCACTCATCATTAGAAGAACATTGCAACTTTGACAATCGTTTGCGAATTTAACGATTTTTAACCAGCAAGAAGTGCTCACGAGACCATCTACGCAATACAAACGGCCCTCGGTATCGATAACTTCAACCTTCAACGATCAATGAAATTTTTTTTAATTTAATAACTTAGGTAGATAGATTAAAAATTATATATATTTTCTTTTTTTTTTTTTTTTATACTTACGTATTGAATTACAGATGTACTCTTCTGGGCTAATTTGTTTAAATCGACGATCTCCGTTGATGATTCCCTTTTAAGGAATCCAGCAGCTCTAACTATGGGTCTGTCCAAGCATGCTTGGGACAAGGATGTCTTCTCGAATGCCTCAATATTCATCATTAAAGCGTTTTCGCTGATAATAGGATACATAATAGCACTGGTCGATTCCATTTTTATTTTAATTTTTAAAGTTTAACTATTTCTTTTAAACGTAAAAAACGGCGTGCAAATTTATTCTGCACTTCTGTCTTTCCTTTTCTTTTTCAATACACCACCAATTTTTCAATTTTTTTTACAAATAACAATTTCTTTTTGTTATTTGTATTTATATTTATATCTTTGTTCGAAAAAATTTAAGAACGCCCAAGGAACTGTTTTACTTCACTTTCAGAAAATGAATCGATGTCGATATCGACAATATGCGATTTACTTGCGAGAGGAAGATTGCGAAAGATATATCGATAATGAAATAATTGGTACGTAAGGTAACTTTGGATGAGGAGAACGCGATGTCAAAGTGTCAACTAAATTGAATCTGTATTCCGCATGTGGCTTAAATATATTCGGGAGACTCGTGCCCCAAATTGACCAGGGGGTTAGTGGGATACTCCCCTCCACTGATACACTCCACTCTTTCTAGCCAGTGTATGCGTAATTGTATTCAAAGAGACAAGGGTAAATCGGCCCCCTTGCTCGCTGTTCGCGAATCATGATGCGTTACCAATCATTAGGGGTGTGGTTAAGGTTAACTATGATCAGTCAGAAGAATTTTTGGAAGGGACGACTTTTTCAAGGATTTTTGATTTTGCGAGGAAAAATCATTTACGCACAAAATTTGAAAAACCTAAAATTATGAAACTTAAAATTATTTGTTAATTTTTAACAATATTTATTTAATATTTGCTCGATAAGTTAAGTTGTCATACGTATTTTTAAATTTTTAATACAATATTGTTGATAGTAAAGGGAAAAGATGAGATAAATTGGAATAAAATTAATAGTAGAATGATTTTACAATGGAATATGTTTGTAACATATATTTTTATTTTTATATTTTTAATAGAAAAAAAAAAATAACATGAGTTTAACAGTTTGAAATTAAAAAGTTTTTTTTTTAATTCTTAGTGTATAATTTCCTTTATACATTTATAATATAGTATTCTATATGAGGATAATATAGAATTGGATAAATGTAATTCTTTTTTCATTTTTTTTTAGATATATATATATTTAAATATCTTTCAAAAAATATTATTTTATGCGTAAAATGATTATTTAAAATTTTTGCAATTAATTAATATAATAATATAATATAATATATTAATAATAATAAATATATTAATAAAAAATAAAAAATAATATTTAGTAAATTTTATAATCAATATATTCCTCTAAATACAAATTCTTTTTTCAAGAGAATAAGAATTCTATATTATCCGTATAAAAACTTTTAAATGAAAATATATATATATTTATATATATATTTTTTTAAATGGAGACAAGATTACTTAATTAAACATTTATTTTTTTTACTTGAAAAATGTTTCTTAGATATGAAAGAGATTGTAATAAAATACGAGAATTATATTAAACTGAAATTTAAAATATTTAATATATTAATTTTCGAAAAAACGACTGAAAATAAATAATAATTATTATTATAATTATGTTATAATTATTTATGTAAATTTTATAAAATTTGAATAAATTTTTTAACATTAAGAAAAAGAAATATATAAATAGAATACATAAATAATATATAATCTTAATAATTTTATATTATTAACATATTGTAGTCTTTTTTATTTATTTAAGTTATTTTTTTATAAAAAAAATAATTACTTATAATATATAAATAACGAACAATTATTATTTAATAATTATCATGATTAATATTTTAAAGTTTAAATTTATGATTGAAAATTTTACGTTAATTTTTATTAATATTAATATTAATTAAAAATTTAATTTTTAACAAATTTTTACTTGTATATTTCCTATTTGATAGTAATTATTATATATTTTTAAATTAATCAAAATCAATTAATTTTCTAATATTATTAATTATTATTAATGAATAATTATTTACATTAAATAAATTTAAACAAATTCAAAAGAGATTTAAATATAAAACAATAAAATATACAAGATTTTACTCAATCTATTTTTTAGATAGCTTAATTTTTATAATTTATATAGATCGAGTGATAATTTAATTTAATAATAATTATGATTGAT